GAGAATCCCAAGGCTTTTGAAGTGCTCCAGGACAAATTCGTCGAAGAACGCGATTAGGGAAATCTTAGCAACAAGCGACTCGCAGAGTACTTGATTGCCATTTCCCCACGACAAGCTGCTAGCATTCATCCAATTCAACCGCAATGCTCACAAGCTCATCCACTCGTATGATGCGATTGCACCGAAGTGTCGTACGCGGTTGAGTCGGCCATGTCCAATACGGGCTTGTGCCATCGTGTCATGCTGTACGACAATCTGGCAAAACATCAAAACACCTATGTTCTGCTAAGTGAGGCCTAAAATGTTAGCACCAGTCGTTTAAAGTACCTCACCTGGTGCACCTCCCCAGTGTGGAGCGTTGTGGAGAGCAGTGGGGCGCAGCTGGATTCGGCACAAGTCTGGTGGGGCAAGATGCTTTATGCCAGCAAGCAGCCGTTATGTCGGTGACCAGCCAACCATCGTTGTAGAGCCTAACTCTCATATAAGGATCCGCATGGGCCTACTGGTTACAGTAGATGCACCAGCTCCCGATCATGAAACACTTGAAGCTTTCTCAGACATCCTCAAAGCAGGCACCCTCGGCTGAGAAGGGCGAGAAGCGGCCGGGTTGGGCAGCCAATGACACCTCGCCAAAAGCGGGAAGCTGGAGAACTTGCAGGAGAGTTGCAGATACGAGTCTAAGTGAGGCGGCAATTGTGGCTTAAAATGGGTTTTTCTGCTTGCAGGCTTGGTTGCGGATGACCACTTCCAGGACATACAGGCCGATCAAGATTTTCATTGCAGCCTTGCGGCCAAAAGAGTTGGTCGGACGAACCTGCTAGTTCTCACCCTATTGCTACTGTTCCTGAGGCATGCCGTGCGGCATCAATTCCTTCGCTGACGGCTTGAAGGCTTTGATCCTGACGGGAAGCTCACTACCGGTCAGTCTGGATCGCTGCCATTTGCAGTTCACATGCTACAATGCTACTCAAAAGCAAGGCGTCCCAAGTACGTATCATGTGCAGAAGTGCCCATATGACGTAAGAAGTCATCGCGCTGTGCACCGTGCTCTGGCAATGGAAATTTTACGTTAACGTGGCCTCCGGATTGCGCAGAACTCCGGCTGCCCTTGGATCATCAGTCTTAGGCACTGTAGCAATTCAACAATTTCCATTCTGATCTGCGATACTTTCCCGGGCCGACAGTCCGTCCACGGGCCAGGCGCAAGCCTAATTTTGGCGAAGCCTCTGGCTACAAACTTGCTGACGAGCATCACGTTTGCATGGACGAGTACCTTAGATTCAGATGGCGGGGCAGCAGGCAGCATCAGCCTGCTTGTGTTTTGCGTCCAAGTTGCCAAAAGCAGCGTCAAACCAGCCGCCAAATGACAAAGCACCTGGCCACATGGAGCCGACTCATCCAGGCGCTGGATGGGCTAATCCGCTCAGGCCATCCGGCCTGAAGAGTATCAGAAAGTGCCTCAAGTACCCGCCACAAAATCCTCCTCCCAGGTCCCGCGGTCAAATCAAGCGACCTTTGGCCTGAATCGGCCCCTGAATGTGGACGGTGCGTGAGGTCGGTGGAAGCAAAAAGAGGGGCTTCACGGTTTTGATATCAGAATAGCTCCTCGGCCCCTCACAAACCCCCTCTTGCGGCTGCAAGATGCTCGGCCACCACTAGCTATCGGTTCACTGCAGCGGCTGCACCGCAACCTGCCTGACTCGCAGCTGGTCCTTTTCGTGGCAGGTGCCTCAAGTCTATTTCTGGAGACCGGAAAGCAGCCCTGGCTTCAAAACCCGGCCCTGTCGTTGTCCCCTGCGACAAACACCGTCTTGATTTTAGCAACAGATTCAAAGGTGAGCTTGCCACGCTTGTACAAGGATGCCGGCAGCAGCTATACGCCGAGGACATTGGCAGCTCATCGACCCCAGCCGAAAGCGGCCACTCCCGACCCTTTCTGTTTCCGGTTTGAGGTTTGGGGCTGAGGGTTTCTGGATTTAACACAACCCATAAACTCCACGATTTACCCACCTCAGGGAGTCAAGCCCATCAACCCACTGGGGAAGTAATTTGCAAACAAATCGACCGCTTGAGCTCTGATGGAACTCGCTTTCGCGATTAACATACAGTACCACTGTGCACGATTTCCCCTCAGAAGCTGCTCGACCAACCTGCACGCCCGCATTCTGGAGCAAGCGGTAGCCTGAGCAACCAGCGAGCGGAAAACAAAAACTCAATCACACGCAAAAGGCACAAACGCGCAGCCCAACAACCACCATTCATCCCTGGCAAGTTTGCTGCCTGAACGCAAGGGATCTGATGAGGAAGAACAATGGCAACCCTTTGGGATGTATTGTGAACCTAACACAATGTGGAGTTGCAAAGATCCAGCCGCGGCGAGCTGGGATGTTGAGACTCAAGCCGTGAAGACATGTCTAGGTGGCTGTCATGCTGTAGCTTGCAGCACAAGAGGCAGAAGCCACGGATGCCACGGTCGCCCTGCACATGGCACGACCAAGGCATCTGACGAAAGAACAGCTTTCAAAAAACTATTCGACCAAGGCACTGCTTTGGTGCCCTGTGCACACTTGAAAGGCCTCCAAGGATCGTGCTCTGTCATGCGCTTGTTGAACTTGGCAGGCACATACATCGCGCAAATGAAGGACTGAACTTGCAACTGTTCGTAGAAAATGCATGCTTAGAAGCATCTTGTTCGAGTGGCATAGCAACCAAAAAAATCGCATTGTTCGCCGTTGTGTTTATTGCAGTCGAGGCACTTCTGGCAGCGATTATCCTGCAAATGATTAATTTTGTTGCTCACCTGTTTTCTTACGTGAAACCATCCGATCAAAGTCTCTGCCTGAGAAATAGCCAATATCGGTGATCACCACTTTCACCGACAGCTTTCAGGCGCGGCGAACCAGACTACCAGGCCTGTATGGCGCCCTTACCTGGTTCGCACATGGCGCATCACAACGTGCCATTTTGGCCATACGCATGGGTTGAAAACAACATTGGTTTCCCGCACGGTGCATCACAACATGCCATCACCGCCATCTGCACTGGGTGGGGTGGGGTGGGGTGGGGGGTAGATAACGTAATGGTTTAATAACGTTTGCTTCACGCAGCGCAACGCAACCACGTCCACTCAGAGGGCCCCGAATTTTGGCGTGACAAGCAGCTCATCCAGTGGCCTGCTATGCGGTGACCGGCTAGCGGGTCGACCAGTGGTCCAAAGTGTGGCCCTGCTTTGATTTCAAATATTTCAAGCACGGACGCGGCACAAGTAGAGGATGCACAAGTGAGCCAGGTGGCGGCGGTGGCGGTCAGCAAAAAAACTTTCTAGGGCAACGATCTGGGCGAGGGCCTCAAACATGTAAACGTGCCCGCCATAGCTCTGAACCTCTTGACGAAGCACTCGAGGTGCCCGATGTGGCTTACCCTTGGAGAGTCCCGCCTTGTGTGCCTAAAGTCTTCCGCTTCCAAATTCCAAAGTTTTAAAAGGGGATAAGGAAGGGGCCTCTGCCTTGTCGTCGCTTGCCCAGGCCAGCTGTGGCCGGTGGAAGATGGCAGGCACCCGGTGACATGTCCCTCGTACTCGAAGGTGAGGGGACATAGGGTCAGGCCACCAGAGCAGGCAGAGCCAGAGAGTGCTCCACTGCCGGAGGCGGTTCCTTGGACGCCTTCGCGTGATCCACACAGTGTCCGCCCACGATTTTAATTTCCACACGGTGTGCCTGGAGTGCGACACTGGCGGTATATAGGCAGGTCTCCACGGTCGCAACGGACGACAGAACTCACACACAACTCATCGGCAAGCGTTCGCCAAGGCAACAACCAACGCTGACGATGAGGTTTTGGGGCGGCCGCGCTTCGGTATGTCCACCCGGCCTATGCTAATTACAAGGCACACGCCAGCCATTGTGCTATCAGACAAGAATCTATGGGTGTGCCCACCGCCCCGAAACCCCTGTGGTCCTCTCAAATTGCAACTTCTCCTCGTTCAGGAATGGAGTCATCTCCTCAGATCATTGAAAGTATAAATGACATACAGCTATGAACGACCCATGCGCCGAGCATTGCAATCTACAAGCAGAACACCACAGACAGCCCAAGGCGTAACGTTGATTAGGATGACTGGGACATCCGGGACGTGGGGCTCGTTGCCACTAGAGTCTGCGTGGTCCGCATCCATTGTGCGGTGTTGCAGATAGAGCGATGCATCCGTGGTTGACGTCCTTGGCATGTGGGCACAACCGTTTCAAGCCCGGGCCATGCTTGGTATTCCAAGCTCGGAATCCCTTTGAGTATCTGGCCGACCGGAGGCGTGGCTAGGCGGCTTCCGCGAGGAAGCTACGGATCCTCCGAAAGCTACGGGTCACTGCATCTGCAAAAACAATCTCAGACCATGCCCCAACTCTCGAACTCCCCTATTACTTGTAACCAGGCGACTGGCCGAAGGCGCATGCTGTACTGGAGCGTCATCCGCAAACACCATAGCAGAGAGGGCAACGGCAAGGGCCACCCTGTGCCCGCAGGCTAAGGATTCGTAATCGACATGTCAGCTGCTGGTACAGTACTGTGAAAAAGACTGCACAGTGCAGGAAGTTTGACTCGTGAATTATCTTCATCATGGCTCTGGCAGACTGAGTAACTTCAGCCTTTCTTGATCCATGGCATGGCCTGCACACCTCTTTATTTGGCACTTTTTGCTTGGAATGGAGCGGACGGAGCATCACGACCAGGGCAATTTAAGAACCTGAAGCCTAACAGCACCTTCACACCCATGGCGGTTGCCTCGCTGGGCAGGCCGAGGCCGAGTCGGGTCGCGCAGGGTTAAAAATTGTCTTCACATGGCTCTCGTAGCAACACCGGTTCGCACCGTATAATTTCAGCCAGCGTTCAACTTGCTTGATCCATGGCATGGGTTGCCTCAAATCATGTCAAGCGCTCATGCACCTCACATTGCCTCGTCTACCTGCCCTGGCCCATTGCTCCCTTCACAAGCACGACAGGCAAACGGCAGCCACCTCGGGGACTGGCGGCAAGCCTGCAGAAACTCTGTGTTGATCCATCTGGACCACTGCTGCGTGACATTCGCATGGCTTGGGACTTAACAGCATCATCACTGTAACACACTGCATCATCTGACTATATCTGACTTGCAAGTGGCCTCAAACTTGTGAGAAGCTGAAACAAACCATGACAGAACCTACCTTCTCGCTCGGCCAGGCGGTGCCCTGGGAGGATCCTGCCTGTGCAGAACTTGCAGGGAAAGTGCACTCAAAAGAGTATGGCTCTAGAATCTTTGGCTGCAGCAACATTAGATGATCTCCGTGTAAAGGAGTTTACGCTACAAGTAGCTGTCCCTTGTGCCGCTGAAATGCCACCAGCCGTTCCTGACTTAAGTGGTCTGCCCGTCTGCCTGTATTGAACGCATTGAGCTGATTCACCGAACTTATTGCGCGAGGCGGTAGCGTTGGGAATGCATTTGGGGGGAGCGTGGCCTATGTTGCCGTAGTATGAGCACGGGACTTCTAAGGGTCAATTGGTTGCATGGGACGTTTCTTTGAATTTCGATTCGAACTTGATGTTGCACGGTCAGAAGTCTGGGAGCGAGTCCATCCTTGACTCAGCGCAGCACAAGGAGAGGAGGTTCGCACCAACATGCATCAACTCCCTCACACGAACTTTTGAATGATAACCGGTCGGCATGCACTCGGTCACTACCTGGAAATTACAACTTGCCACGAGTTTGCTTCTTCAATCTTTTTTCCAGCCTTGGAAAACTCACTCCTTGCAAAGCTCTGAGCATAACTACGTTCAGGCGATAAGCCCAAGGAAGCGACTTCATCAGAACCAGAACCGTCAGAACTCACCTGGCCTCGTGTGTCCCGTGGTGCATCAGGCAAGTGAGGCGATGTCCTCAGAACGAGGCACTCGGAGAAGACATGAGGGAACCGAAAAGTCCCCACCTGGCTGAGCACTGCGATGAGAGCGATGAAGCGGCGGGAATCGCCAGGCCTAAGGCCAACCTGGGATTCTCTCAAGAGGACTCTCCTTGCTTCCCTTAAGCCAAGTGCCTTGAACTGCCCTGATCAGTTCTCAGAACTCCGCCCAAGAATCACCGGTGCGTGCCTGGCCTCAACATCAGTGGCTTACTCGGGAAGTCTTTGATCTTTACTTCTACATCTTCTACATTATCCGTGTTGCATTGCAAAGGACCTTGTGGCATGTCAGGCACCGGGCAGGTCCATGCCCTACTGGACTCGGACGGCATTCGTACCTCCGCCAAGCTAGTTTCGTCAAAGTTCGCTAGCGCCGCCGAGTGACAGCGCGTGGCTGTTCTTACACAGTTGAAATAGCAAACAATTCTGACGCCTCTGGTTGCAACAGTGAGGTCGCGTATGCCTCACTACCGCCAGCATCGGGCATTGCCAGTGTTGTGAGCTCCGCAACAATCTGATGTTTACTGTGCTTCGGGCCACTAGGGACAGGGAATCTTCCGACTCTTACGCCTTACGCTGTTCTCCGTTGCTGCTCAGGCTAATCTCGGAAGGCAAAGTGCATGACATTTCATGACCAACCCTTACATCACTGCACTCTACGGAGGTGAGGCTCTTGAGCCCTGAGAGGTGTGAGTCATAACTTTTAGGCAGACACTTTCATGTCGTATCTTACGTCTGCAGCAGGTGCAGCGACCTTTTCCTTGATGTCTAATCTGCTTCGCACTCTTCACTCTTCCCTCCTCCAAACCGAACGCAATCTCTTGGCCAGCATGCACCTCTTCTCATGTGGGCCTCTTGCCAACCACATCTCTTGAAGGCTCAGTACGGGTTGGGGGCGCCATCCAACAGACTTGAGCAAGGAGGTGACTCTGGCCGCAAGAAAGGTCTCCGCTCAAACCTCGTCACGCACGAGATGTAGCTCATGGCCTGAGCCGGAAACCGAATTTTGCAGGAATCGGTCGACAAGGCTCTTGGCCTTTCTGCTGGTCGCGGTTCAGAGGAAGTTTGGCATCACACGGCTCCTCTCTGACCCCCGTGGGATGCGTTGCAGGGTAATAAAGACGGGGCCACGAAGGCTTGGACACTCTAAAATGACAGCGGTCTTAGCACCAGCCACAAGCTGCGCGCTTGGGCTGGTAGCTGTCCAGACCACCACTGGAAGAGAGAAGCCCCCGACATTTGAAGGACATTGAAAAGCGTGTTGTGTGAGGGGGGGGACGAGTCCATGCTCTCCCTAGAAACCCTCTCAAAAAAAAAAAAGAAACTGCTTCCCCGGCACCTTCCCCCCCGTCTACAAAGTAGAACCTTGCCAGCTGTGTTTTTTGCGGAGGGCGTCTGACCTCACTTCCATGCCACCCTGGATCTGTACGGTGGTTGCATTGCAAACGCTCTGTTCAGCGGAGGGTGTGCCAGAGCATCAGCGCCAAATGGCACTCTGCACACCAAGGATCCCACCAACTTCTCTAGGACTGGTTGTGCAAGTCATCTAAGGTTTTCTCTCTGAATGTCTGCGCGTGATTGTGTGACAGTGTCATGACAGTGTCATGAGAAGGGATCTGACTGGTGATCGCAGTTCTAAGTTATGCTGAGTTGACTATCTAGCAGTATCTGCTAGAAGCCGCGGAGGACCTCACGGGCGGACGGCACCAGAAACAAGCTCACAACACAGATTCGCTTGCTTCACACGCTCTTATCACTAAGTCGCTAGTGCAATCTCGATGAGGACGTCGGATTTCACCAGACGGTCCTCGAGGAGTCCCGGCCCACTTCCCCCAAGGCTCTTGGCCAAGGAAGCGTCAGGAGTGTTCCGCCCGACTCCGGGAGTCCCAAGAACAGGATGCTGCGAGTCTTAGCCTTGAGAACCCCGGGGTGGAGGACAGAATTGCTGCAAGATATGCAAGAGTGTAGTTACGGCATATTGCTGTGCCGGTGCATATCGGTGCATGGCTCGCAAAATAGTTCCCACCACGACGAGGCTTTCATCTGGTGTTCCGAACGTTCTGGATGGCAAGACTCACAGCCTGGAACTGCAAGGAAATAGAGAATCTGAGTCATGTTTCGAAGCGCCTCAACATCATGCAGCCTTGTCGTGCAACAGGCTAAGCGGTCGAGCCTGTGCCCAACTGGCTGGCAATCATATGTGCTTGGCCGAGGCCCGCTGCAGCAGTGATGTGACGTACACGCTTGCGTGGGGCCCGAAAAAAAGAGCCAGCTGAAGAGCACAGCAGTCGCTTGTGACAAGTGCGCTCCTCGTCTGTGCGGTCGAATGTGGTCGAAAACATGCTCCAAAGACGCTTGAATCACTTGAATTACTTGCATTGTGGTAGCGAGACATAGCAAAGTCAGGACCTCCCCCAGATACTTGCGCTTGCTGCTGACAGCCGTTAACGGTTGTTCCCCTTCCATAAGTACAGAAAGATACCAGAGCATCCGGTATGGGGAGTCTTCAAAAGCCAGCAGGCCTCGCTTGGGTCAACAGCGCACTTCAGGCTCACCCTGGAATGCGATCGTTGGCAGTTTAAAAGCCTGCCACGGAAGCATACATGAGACAAAGCGTGGACCACCAAAACCATGATTTCTGGAACACCGGCAACCGCAACTATGAAATGCCTAACAACGACCAAGTTTAAGCAAAAGTGCTCCACACTTCGAGCTTGTAAAGTGTATCTCTCTGGGCCACACTGACAACTGTAGACAACTGCAGCCCGGCTAGTCAACGAAGATGCAGACTCACGATTGCGGTGTTTCCTTCGCAATGAGTACTGCGCACTGGTTGACCCATGTGTCAAGCATCCTGAGTGTGGCCAAAAGTTGGGCACGTTGCTCAGGCATCATGTGAGCATTCGTGGGAGGACTGTCCTGGAGCAAACTGGTGTGGAGCACATTATGCTTGCCGGCATCACTGAATCGACATGTTGCGACTACGAGTATCATGTTTGCCCATGGCACAAGGCTAACGCGGCAGAAGTCCTTTGATAGCGGCATTTGCGAGGTAAGTCCGGGAATGTGAACATATCGAGGGCACTCTTCGTCCTCCTCTTCTCCCGCCGAGGTTGAGACAGATTCCTTGGTCGGCTAGAACCAGCTACTGGTAGCTGCAGCTGGCTAGGTTCCAACAACATGGCGGCTGCATTGACCACCACCACTCAGTCGCCACTCGCTACCACAGCATGCTCGTGCAGATGAGCAGCGCTTGACTCCATCGAATGAGCGTGTGTGCAACGGTTTCCATATCTGCATGAGCGTCCGGTGGCAAAGAATCGGCAAATCTTGGTGCCAGTGAGGTCGGGCTTGCCACGCAGCTGCGACTCGTCGTGGGCGAACGTACAACTACTCCCGCGGACGCACTTTTTCATCAAGTGGAACTTGCACATGGTTGTGAACTTGAGAGCTGGCAAACCTCGTTGAGGACAGATGTGAAAGCCATGACATGATAGCTTAGACGATCAGCATGCCTCCAAACTCCAAACTTGTTGGAACGACTAGAAGCTTTTGGATCACCGCAAGTTGTTGAGAGTCTCAGTCCAATAAGTCCTTGCAAAACTTTTTCTCAGCCAAGCAACCACCCTCCTGAGTCTCAATTGCACGCTGAGTCTGAGCACGTCGAGCACGGCGGCTGGACTGAACGTCCGTCATGCTGGACCTTGCTAACACTTTAGAATTGTAGAAGATCCGCGAATCGGCCTGTGCCCCACTCAAGCTGCGGCATGCAGCGGTCATTGTCTGCAAGATGCCTCAAGGCGTGCCTTAAGGCCTTAAGGGCTGTCACTCTGCATGCGCGTCTGGTCCTACCTCGGCTGCGACGTCCACTTTCTCCGCACCAGGCAAACGGCCGGTCAGCTGCTCGCAAAACCGCAGGGGCGCATACTGCCCTGGATCCGCGAGACGAGCAAAGCAAGCTGCCAGTTAAGAACCTGTACAGCACAAGCTGAAGACATGTCTATAATACGGACATAAGCCAAGCCAGTCTGGCACATCTTGGCACATAGCATTGCACACGCTTGAATCGATGGCCTGTGACCAAAGGGAAAATCATGCAGACATTTCCGGAAGGTGGAGGTGGCAGTGTTAGCAACGAGCTGCTTGACAAGCGAACTGCTCACACGCGCCCAAACTTCCACCAACGATCTGGCAGGCAGGCGCGAATGGCGACACACACTCAGAGTATGGATGGACTTGGGGTAGCCATGGCACCATGTGCATCGCTCACTTCAGCTTCAGCAATGCCCATCTATGCGCCTTCAGTGTCGCCAGCACCTGTCAGCGCACTGTCAAATGCCTGAAGCAGGCCCGACCTTGGAGATCAAAGCCAGATTTGTTCGTGCGAATGATCGGCGCAGGAACAAGCAACCACGTTAACTTCGTGTTAACTTTTTCCATGCTTCAAAGGATGTCTGGACAAATCTTGCTACAAGCAGTTCTATAATACTTATCAAGTCGCAGCCAGGCCATCAGTGCTGTCTCCAAAGTTGGGATCGTCACCTTGACACCACGCCAAGAAATTCAACGGTCTCGCAACGAGAGAACTCTTGACTCTCGAGGAGCCCAAGATCAAACACGCAAGGAACAAATTCACTGAGATGTTTGCTCACAAGCACGTGCACGCCATCAAGCAGAGGGGCCAAGGCCTGAGGATCAAAAACGCAAACAGCGTGTGCACAAATACGTCCCTGCCCTGGGATTGCATACTACTTCTGCAACACAAGTAGAGTGTCAAACAGAATACGTGCAGGTGCACCGAATACAAGATGAGGCGAACGCGGCACCACCCTGCTGTAGCCTGAAAACAAAGCGCTGCCAGCTTCAGACATGCTCAGACAGCGAAGGCGCAGGGGACAGTTAGGGTGTCAGTCAGGATTTCGGGTTTGCTTGGGGTTGAATAATAATAAAAGATTGATGGATGGATGGATGGATGGACGGGTCAGCCTGCTGGGCGCTGACGTCTACGGGTGCCTTTGCCGCTTCTCCGGGAGCCTCCATAAACATCATCGGCCACCCTCACATCATCGGCCACCCTCCGGCAACAGTTCGTGGTCCCTGACTAGCCATGGTTGCGATCTTGGTTTGGGATCTCTCATCTGACCTTTTGTTTGTACTACTTGTTCTTCTTCCACTACTACTACTACTACTACTACTACTACTACTACTACTACTACTACTACTACTACTACTACTACTACTACTACTACTACTACTACTACTCCTCCTACTACTACTCCTACTCCTCCTACTACTACTCCTACTGCTACTGCTGCTGCTGCTACCGCTACCGCTACCGCTACCACCACCGCTACCACCACCACCACCACCACCACCACCACCACGACCACGACCACGACCACGACCACGACCACGATCACGACCACGACCACGACCACGAAAACGACGACGACGACGACGACGACTTGTTGCCCCGACTCCAACTCCTGCTCCTTGGCAGATCGTTTAGATAAGGTAAGCTTGCAGCCTGCACGGCTAAAGAACAAGAACGCAAGGGGTTGGGAGGGCGCAGCCCGCCCCATTTGCCACGTTGCGTGTGTACGACAAAGTTGGGACAGGCTTCGAAGGTTCAAATGAACGAGTCCTTGTCATGGCATGATCTTCTTGAGAAGGTAGAGCTTGCAGCTTGCATGGCGTTATGGAGAGAGGTGGGCCGACACATGACACGCATAACGGATTTGGAAAGGGTTCGTACGGCTAAAAATCAATGCAGGGGGTGTGCGGTGCAGCTCCGCCTATCGCAAACACATGACAGGCATGACGGGCTTGGAAAGGAGCGTGTCTAAACATCATCTTTGCAGTTAGCTTGCAGCTTGTACGTCTTCACAACAGAAAACAGGAGGGGGGGGGTTGGGTTGTGGGGGCGCAGACTCACCAGCCACCCCACCCCCCCCGGCACTCCCCCCACATTTGCAAACATTTATCAAAGCCTCGCTCAAGGCCCTTCCAAACCTAAGGCGGCCAGACCTCTGGCCGGGAAGGATCTGGAGTCGCACACGTGCACGAAGCAAGGCACAGGAAGCTCAAGCCATCTCAAACCTCAAGCCTCAAGCCCAACTTAGGTACCAGTACCTTCGAGGGGACCCTGGCCTGGCAGAGTTTCGACATGGCAGATTCCCTTCAAAGCTTCGCTAAGACATCCGAGGTGAGCCATGCAGCACGACACTCCAGACGTGCACGCTCTTCGCATCCCTCCGCCCGTGCGAAGCTGACCCTGAACCGTGCGATCCCTTGTTGCTTGCTGGTGCCGTTTGTCGTCTGTTTTCACGTAAGTATTTTGTGCTGATGGCACCGTTCTGCTTCCCCAATTTGAGACATTAGATAAAACAAACAACAAAATAAGTAAATGCATAGATAAATACACTTCAAGCAAAACTCATGTAAGGGATCGGCAATGTTTTTGCAATGCAGCATTTGTCCAGAACTGCTCATGTGAAGGTAGCTCTGCTGGTCTCAGCAACATTAGCTGAGTGGGGCTTTTCATAGCGGGAACCCTGCCATTGTTGCAGACTATGTTCTGAAAGAGCCGGATTGCGGCAAAGTTGACGAGATTTGACAAAGACTCGTTGGTCAGCTTCAGGTTTCACGCCGCCCCTATCAACGGGCGAGATGGTTTCTTGTTTAAGTAGCCTTCTTGTTTTCTTGCATTTTCTTGCATTGTATTTGTTGCTACGTTGAGATGGTGCTTCCTTCGCCGCTGCCCATGGCAAAAACATCTAAGTCTTCGACGCTGGCGCAGGCCAAAGCCTTGCAGAGAGCTGGGGCTCGACGTGGACTACTCGACTGCATGCCAGTGGCAAGGATGCAAGCGATGAAAGTCTAAATGTTTCTTGAGAATGGGCAACCCCGGGAACGGTGGAATTCTGGTGCCGTTTGCATAGACTCATGCCAGTGCGGCGTTTTTGCTGAAGTGCACCAACTCCGAGCCCACTGCAGAAGTTGCCCGGAAGCATCACGGTGCAAGTCTCCAACCTCGCATCCCAACACACAGTAGCAGCATGCAGTCCGCACAAGTCCACAGAGCAGCTTCTAGCGCCAGCAATTGCAGCTTTACGCAGAAACACGCAAGAGCGCAAAGGCTTGTAAACGTAGCATGGTGTCATGTTGCGTGACAGGCACGCAGTACTCCACCACTTTATGCAGCAACTTAACACTGCTTGAGCTTGCAGCCAGTGTTACCAATTGTCCGACCCGCAGAGCTTCTTCCTGACGTGTCTGCTTGATGGTGTGTTTTGATGTGTTTTGGTGCGTTCCATGCTGTCAGATGCCGTCGTTGCCGTCGGCGCCAATCCTGAAAGGTGAGCGGATCCTCCTCCGTGTACTCGGCGCCTTCGGCTGTCATCAAGTCAGATCACGTTCTCACGAGAGCGCGCAAGATGGTTCAGCTTAAGGTCGACTGCAAGAAACGAAAACTCTTTGGGCACGGGCATGTCACTTCTCGAGCTTGGATGCGACACATCGACAAGATGCTGTGCAATGTCGGGCATGCCTGCTCCCTCCGATTGGACAAATTCACGCCACGTGGCAGGGACCTTTTACAAGGGGGGGGGGGGGGGGGGGGGGGTTCTGAAACTAGGGGGGTATCTCACTGGGGCATGCAGAAGCTGGTGCCGAAGTATGGAGGATTCTCCCTGAGGAAGGGTCCGTCTTCAGGGACTGAATCTCCTCTCTGCAGGAAAGGCACCTTGTGGTTGACGGAAAGCTTGGGCTTGAGAGCTTCTCGTGAAAAATGTGAGCACCATGTGAGCACAAAAAACAACCATCTGAGCCTGGCACATGCGCACCTCTTTCCCATGGACAATGAGCTGGGTGTCTGGAGCACCCTCCAGTGTGGCTACAAAGTCCACCTGGCATGTCGAGGAGCAAAGATCATTCTGGCGTCAGTCCAGCAAGCTGGACTTGCCAACGCACTGTTGTGAGGTAATCTCTGCTGCGGATTGTAGACCCACTTTCTGACTTAATCCTCTAGTCTATCTGGCTTTCGGTACAATACACTGTAGCGTACTATGTCTCTAGCACAGCAGGCCGGCGACTGCGACGTGCTGCAACATCGCCGGCAGCACGCACCCCAAACGTTGTGCAATGACTTTTGCCTGCAGCGTGCGAAAAGTGCTGTTAGAGGCGCGCTGCCGTCTTGCTTTGCGCCTCTTGTCCCGGCACGATCTGTTCCACCTTCGTCTTGTGGATGACGCAAGCCTGCAGATAGGAACACAAGCCATGCGGCCAAAACAAAGAATAAAGTCACCGCGAACCCTCTCTGAGCGGAGCCTCCTCACACATAGGTGCTGCAAGCGGCACCTGGTCATCAAGCGGCCCATAGATGCCTGCAAAGGGGCTCCCCCGGCATATCCCGGCATCTTCTGGCTCATGACATTCTCGCAAAGTCTGATGGGATATGATTGGGATCTGATGGGCTCTGATCTTGGGACTCCCGGCGGGCACGAAACCGCAAAGGCTGGCCGACACTCTTTGGCTTGGACAAGGTGCCTCAAAGCTGGCGCCATGGTGCAATCGTGCGCAGATTCCCTTGTCAATGCTGCACTTTCTGCACTTTGAGGTCGTGGCAATCGTAACTGCCTCGAAATGCAGGCAACAGCTGATCAACCTGCGCCAAGACCACAGGCTTTGTGAGTTTTTTGTTGTCAACTCAAACGCACCACCGACACGACACAGTGCCAGGATTTGGCACACCTCCTTTGCGGACACCATGGGAATGACCTGCTCCGCCGGCTCCTGCTTTGGTGGTTTCCGACTTTCCCACTTTCCGACCCGTTGTGATTCAAAAACATGGGCAGACATCAGGATATCGATTTTGTGCCTCCTCCTTCTCAGCCTCGATCTTGGGGGCTCTTACCTCAAGTACTCACGCAACCTGCGCAGCCTATTCGTCTCGAAAGCTGATGTACAAAACCAATTTCGCTTCTGCCCCCATTCGTTGATGCATGGAGCACGAGCCCTGCACGTTAAGACAGCTGCCGAAACACGGAAGGAACACGGAACTGCGACAAGTGAAGTGTTAAGCAGGTCATGTCGAGAAAAGCACTGATGGACTTCCGGGCTTCCTGCTGCCTCCATTAAGTCCTCCTGGCGGGCTTTGATACTGCACGTGCACAGTGTGCATTCAGTGTGCATTCAGTGTGCATGCTCTGCAGCCTCTGACGTCCCTGGACCACACTTGACCACTCTGGACATCTCTGGACTCTGCGGTTGGCAAGTCGCCAAGAAGTCCTTGGAAGGAGCCGGCGCCACTTGCCGCTGGATCAATCCTGAGAGCACCGGCAGCATCTCAGGGTCTGAACGCGCATGCCAGCAGCCAACACACAGCCACTGCATTGCCACTGCATTGCGACTGCATTGCGACTCTTAAGTGATTGTACTGTTGATCAGATCCTCAACAACTCGGCACTTGGTCTCGCGCGACTGCATGCACCACCACCCTGGAGGGTCAATCGCTGCGTGCATGGAACCCGACACATTTGCTGAGCATGACCAATTTGCACTTCTGAACAATTGCTAAGAATTGGCAGCTACGTGATGGGCATCCGCGTCTTCTTCACTGCGGGTGAGTCATTCGGTATGTACTGTCAGCCGTATTTTATGCAGTTTTTCCCCTGGCTGGGTCGCCCTGTCTACCTTCAGTCTGGACGACGCTGACATCATCGGGTAGCTCAAGGGGACAGTTAGCGTATTGGCACATTCGCTAGGCGTCGGAAGGCTATGGGCTTCTTGTTTGGCTTAGCATTCTCGAGAAGGTGATATTGCATATCGTATGATACAGGCTTTTGTTGCTATTCGGAAACCGGACCAGATGCTTTAGAGATTAAGGGCATCGTGCTTTTCCTACACAAGAGAAACCCGAAGCATAATGACCAAAAGAGGAGCACGCCCACCAAGATCACCAAAACCCTGGGCATGCTGTCGGCAACATGTCAGGTTCGGAAAGCATCTCTGCTCCAAAGAAGCCGGAAGTATTCGAGATGCAGTATATAACCATGCATGACATCACAGTCCGTGTACGATTCCAGAATACAGCGGAAAGAAATGTGTGAGGTTGAGTCTGATCACGTGCAGAGATCCACTTCTGCTCGAGCTGTCTGCATTTCAAACAATGTGTGCATTGTCGGTCGCTGGCCAAGGTGTGCCTTAACAATCACGAAGAGGGCGAGCAGAAACTTCAGCATCAGGACGAGGATTCGTAACCTGAATTGCCACATCCGCGACCCACGCGTGCCCTTCATGGATGCACACGCCCAGGCACACTGAGAGGCAGACTGATGTAAGCTCATGGGAAGTTTCTCATCTGCAGCCCCAGCACAAGCTTACTTTGGCTTAAAGTCAGGCAGAAGATCTGGCCCATAGTGAATTCCCGCGACACTTGCAAGCTCACAGCTGAATGAAGGTGCCCACGTGCCCTGGCTTTCGGCATCTCTCGCCTGTCACGTGCTTGCTCGCGGCGTTTGCCTTGAGAATGAAACCCGTACCTGCAACTGGGATCGCAAGTCCATCTGCTTCGACAAAACTGTTCTAACAGTGTCTATGGTTTGATTTGGACCTTATTTACTCCTGCGTTGGCTCGTTCAATCTCGTTTGCTAGTCAGGTAGCCATTGACAAGGTGGAATCTCGAACCTTTGCCGGCGGTTGTTGTCACGATGTGCTACGGTTCTGCCCACTATTCCCCTTACGCTGCGGTTGTATGTCCCAAATCAACTCCTGGCGCTTGGCAGCTTGGCCGACCTCTGGATTCCACTTCCTGATGGAGCACGAATTGCTCACCTGATTCAGCAGAGCCCCTGGATACAGGGCAGTACTGCACCCCCCTTGCAAGCTTCCACAAACATCGAGGGCCTGCTCCCACTGTCTGGACCTCAGCTGGACTTAAAACATGCGCAAGACGTAGCTCGGCAGAGCTATGTGCAGCAAGCAGGGGCGCAAGGTTGCATGGCACACACCAGTTACGCCAGGCCCAACTGAATTTCCGTAGCTCCAGAGTCCCACTTACTAGAAGTTCCCCAGCCCTCGCACCCAGCATTGTGATTGGCTGAGTGACACCAAGGACACGTATGCGCACAGATGCGCGTAGATTGAACCAGAATATAAGGAGTAGGCTGCGGCTAAGACGCCTAAGACCGAACAGTGCAACAGACACAGGCACACTGGGAGCCATGCCTCCTCTCCCACCCACTCATCTACCTGTAAACTGATGCTCGAGGTTCACTTGCCGCAGACAAGCTGTCTAGCTGCTGCCCAACAGCCTGAAGCAATGACAGCGGAAGGCCAACCGCATCGTTGACCTCTGCGCCGTGCGACTTGAACGTGGAAGCCACTCGCTGAGGGCGCTGGTGGTCGAGGCTTGGCCGATTCGATGTGTGCGGAAAACACCCACCGTGCTGAGTCTCCTGCTCCTGCATCTTCATGCGGAGATCTCCCTGCACAGCACAGTTGTCAAAAGGACTTTCGATCAAGCTGTCAGCAAAGCCCTGCGGCAAAGGTGGCAACGCTAGATGCTGCTCCGCCCTATGCCACCCCTTCGGTGTCAATATGTAAAGCTCGGGCTCGCCTTTCAAAATGCTGCTCAGGACATGGTTGTCAGTGTGAAGCCTGACAACACGGGTTTCGAGCAAATCCACCTGGACAATGTTGCTCCATCTCCATTTGCAGTGACTTTGCATCTGAGGTGTGTGCCCAGTCTGCAGAAACGACATGTCGCACCTGATGCTGGACCGTTCTCTCAATATGCCTCTTGTGGTTCAGCCCTCGTTCTTGTGCTGTCGTGCCATCTTTGCTCATACACAGCATACAGCTCGTACTTGGTCGCACTGCCGCCCGCCCTGGGCCCTTGATGGCACACATGGCTTGACGTACGAGTATGGCATGGAAACCTGCAAGAGCCTCACGATAAGAGCCTCACAGCAAGAGCCCGACAATGCCAGAGGGATGTCCGGTCAAGCGAACCAGACTACATCCTACAGCACTGACTCTTGGGGAGCCGGCAATGCTTCGACCTGAGCTCATGTAGCTCAGCAGGCTCGATGTTGACACGTCATCAGACTACACAGACTCGCCCTCCAAACATATCTAGTTCGAATGGCTGAGTTCGGTACACCACCTTCATTTTCGGAGACTTCTGCCTCAGGGCAGGATGTTCAGGTCAAAGCTTGACCTGAACACTGCTTGAATGCCAAACTGACTGACTAGGCAACGGACAGTGCTCCAGAAGTCGGATGAATGCGTAGGCCTTAGCACATTGCACGTTGTGCTTCAGCAGCAGTGAAGCGGTGTTGCTTCCAGTTAGCTCAGACTTCTGCGATGAGGACTGTGCAGCATGCAGACTGCCCTCAGCCAGCACGGCGATGACGGAACATGAGCTCAACCATGATTGGGGCTGTTCAAAAAGAGATCTTACTAAAGTGGTTGAACAAGTAGGCCCAAGTAGGCATGACTGCTCCTCGCTTCCCTTTCTGCAGCGTTTACGGGCCAAGAGCCGAGTGGGGTCCGTTTGTCCCCCTTGCAGGTACTTTCAAGAAGCTCAAAGCTCAAAGGGAGAAGCGCGGGCTTCCCCACCCTTTATCATCTGCGACTTTCCATGTAATCGTCTGGTTTGCATGCGTTGCTTGACAAAGTCTCGCTCAAGCTGATTCTCTAAGCGCATGGCAAACAGTAAAGTAAGAAGCAGGGGCAAGGAGACGTGCTCCTTTTACGCAGCCAAGAACATCAGATCTGGCGCCACAAGTGACAGCAACACGCAGAAGGCACCTTGCACAAGGGCTTACCAAAGTACATCGCGGGTTTCCTCGGTCGAACTGGCCATGGAACTGCACTTGAAGCACCCATGAGGGCTACAGTAGCAGGGCACCTCGTTCTATCTTCATCCACCATACCCGAACCAGTAAGGCTTCGCTATGAGTTTGGACATCTGGAGTATCTGCAGATGCCTGACAACTTAACCATGCGTAACACCAAACAATGTTGCTCATGCTCCTAACGGCCTGAACTCCAGGATTCCGCACGTGACCCGGAAGGCACTGACCGAGCAATCAAAGTAATCAAGGTACCCAAATTATCCAAGCGCGCGGCCATTGAGGGTGGTTCGGTCATGGCAGAGATGAACTGGAGCCGATAGGGCCACGGAGTAGAGTCCAGGTCATAGGAGCATCAGAGCCGTAACTGTGGGCTTCTGTGTGACTTGACGGGACGTTCACTGGCACGCTTCCCTCGCAAGATTCGCAATTTTAAGCAGGTTCAACTGAGTGTGCCCGCGCTTTTGGCGAGCGGGATGAAACGAGAATCCAAACGGGAGATGTGTACGGGACAGTGAGATGGGGGCTTCCATGGATCAGCCCAAGGCAGGCAGCTCCATGGAATTGATACTTCCAGAGCTTGTGTGTGAAGCCTCTAAGCAAAGGCAGAGGCCTCACCAGTCCTTAGCATACAAATTGTTGTCATGTATACCCTGCCGCTGCGACGCAGCAAGAGGGGCCGCGACTGCTCTACTGCGCTCAGAGCTCGTGCGTTCCTGCCTGTTTTCTACAGGACCGCCGACCCCGGTGCAGCAAGACTTGGGCACTGACATGCCGGCATTTCGCAACAGCGTGATGGAAGCGTCTCGATTCAACCTGAGCTGTAATGATGCATGGCCATTTCCTGTCGCAACTGCCAGCATGATCCGGTCTGCCTTCACAAGCCTCGAGCACCATCAGTGATAAGAAAAAACGAGGCCCTTGCCGCGTTGCCCACTTCAAAGCTGTGAAGCCTCAGCGGGAACCGCTAATTGCAAACTTGGATCAGCATGTGGGATGGACCGATGGACCCTGAAAGGGCAATTCATGAGCTCTCTGCCATCATCGGTGATGGCTGCAGCGTCGGCGCGTGCCTCCATAACCAACGACTAGACCTGTCCACGCCTGCACAGGTGTCTGTCCAGAGAGCAACTGCGCCTCCAGGAGTAGTGAGACAATACCGCTGTAGTCACCTCAAGCAAAAGCTTCACAAACCCAAAAGGTGCCTTGCGTTTAGTCACCAGACCTCCCACCACACAGCCCATCAATGGCGTCATGTTGTTCTGGTCGCGCGCATTCACGTCGGCCTTGGCAAGACATCGAGAGCTTGCGAAGCTACCCAAAGAGCGGCTCCTCTCTTTGCTCATGGGAACATTTGGGAATACAGGTAGGCAGCTGGGGCAAGGACCTGCCTGGCAAGGAGCAGCTGGCAAAGGCCTTCGGCGCCCTCCTCTGCACAGGCACCTCAGCGTTGCAAAGCCCTTGGGGTAAAGGATAGGTTCAAGCCTCGGCAAGCCTCGTCGACTCGTATGACATGCTATAAGCAATTTCGCATCCCCAGAAAGATTGAGAGGACTGCGCAGCAAGCTGTAGTTCCAGTCGGTTGTCCGCCTCAAAAAACATTCCGATGAAAACAAGAGCGCAAGTAAAGATGAGCAAACAAAAATCGGGCGTCCAACCGCGTCCTTCTTTTCTTTATGAATATAAGACCCTCTCCGCACGTCTCCGCACTTCCGAGGGTGAAGAGGAGACTTCTTCTGCTACTTTTCCCTCTTCTTCTTCTTATTCTTCTTCTTATTCTTCTCTTTTTCTTCTCTTCTTCTTCTTCTTCGTGCACTCTGTCTGTGTTCTCTTTTTTGTCTGGTCCTGGTGAGTCTTCTCACAACTCTACCCCACACTACCAACCCGCTCTGCTACCTCCGAGACACACGTATCGGGCCCCGCGCGCATTGACGTCGCAATCCCCTGGCCTGATGCAGGTTGCGCTTATGGTGAACTCATATGCGTCATATGCGGCATGCATCAGCATTGGCGACCGGAGCAAGCTGCTGCATCATCTAATCATTATAAAGATCGCTGAAAAAAGAGAAGACCGCAGCTTCGCTCCTCTCATTGAGGAGTTGCTCTGCTGCAGCCCAATCCTCCGCCTTCCGCAAATAAAAACAACAGCCAGCAGACGAAGAGAGCACAAAGAAAGCATGCAGGACATTGCAGCATCACGCAGTCAGAATAAATTTAAGAATCCACCTCCACGGCCTGAACGAGAGCGGCACTGGAGGAGCTTCCTGACAACACCAAACGATTCTCAACGAAAAGGACTCTGACAAAAGCTGCCCGATGAAGAAAGCCTCCAGCTGCGATCGGCTCAGCCCCTGGGCTGAGCTTCGCTGCCTTCTGGGCAGTTCACAAAAACGCAAACATTGACACAAATATTTTGAGCCCCAGCCTGAACCACTTCGAGCCCTGCAGGCCCTGCAGATGGCCTTGCAGACGGCCCTGCAGGCGGCCCTGCAGGCGGCCCTGCAAGAGACCCTGCAGGAGGCCCTGCGGGCCCTTCGGGCTCAGGCGCAGCCTTTAACTGCTGAGGGCTCGCAGCATCCGCCTGCGTGGAATCCGCGTCTTGTGCAGTATGCTGCGCTGATGGTTACATACATTGCACTGCTTCTCCATGCCATCCCGCCACTTCAGCAACCCTTCCGGACCTCGGCGCCCGGCGCCTTGGAGGGACACGTTCGCCAAGAGGTGCACGAAAAAAAACGCTTTGCATCATATCTTGCAGGACCGCCGATGGCCCTTGAGTGGAACGCGCTCCGTGACTGTGCTTAGGCCAGCACCTGCGTCCCAGCATCTGCCCGACCATGAGAAGCCTGGCTCTCATCAGAGGTCGGATCCTGCAAGCTACCGGCATTGCCCCTGTGCTTCTCTTCGCTTACGAGTACCTCCTTATGTCTGGAGCCCTCTTGCTCGGTCCGCATGTTTGCGCATGTTCGTGCATGTTTGTGCATGCTTGCGCTACCAAGGTCAACCTGCCAAAACAACTACACCGAACAGCACACACAATCCAGGCGCAGTGTCCTGCACAGCGCTGGGTTTTTGCTCGCGACGCACGGATGCACCCATTCCCATGGCGACCAGATGCAAACAGCACAGGGTGGCTGCACAGATGATGGTGCCTGAACTGTGCCTGGTGACTGGGTGTGAGGATACACACAAATGTGCGGTCGTGTCTGGAATTCTGCAAAGACACATGACTTCTGAAAATCTAGCTTGAAGGCTTGATCCAATGAAAAAGGACACAAATATCAGACCAGGACACAAACTGAGCAATGATGATGTTTTTGTTATGCATCTTGTTGTTGGCTTCTTTTCAAATCGTTGTTGGCTTCTACGCAGGCTACGTGTGAACTCACGGGCTATGCGACGCTACGCAGGCAATGTGTGATGCTGCATTCGGTTGTGCATCACGTTCGATCATTCCGACTTTTTGCCAGCAGTAGGTGGTGGCAAAGATGCGCTTTAAATGAATTAACACAGTAACACACTCTGGCCCTCCAGCGGCGCTTGTATCGTAGGAGCTCTACATGACTGGGAGCCTGAAGGCCAGATGCGCTTGGAAACCCATTTGCTGATTCAACGCGCTAAATTGTACAGCAGCTGAAGATGAGAAGGGTATGAAGGCCACAGGGTCCTGAACCATACGTTGCACTCCCTGAGGATTTTGCAGAGCACTATGCTGATTCAGCTTTGCCGTGCTTGGCAAACCACACCTTCAACGTGCCTTTATGGACCGACTCGTGGCCCACCATCTCAAATCTAAATGCTGAAACTGTGAGCTGCCAATGCTTGTACCGAGCGCGGCAACCGCGTAGTGAGATCGTTCAAACTCCGTTGCCCGCTTGTGAGCACAGTGTACCTCTGCTTGGTTACGCTCGTTTCGTGTAGCCGCTCAATCGCTTTGCGCGGCAGCACAGATTCATTTACGACAAGCATCAACAAGCATCAACGTCTACATCGTCTTGAGTACATGGACATGGCACGCGCCAACATCAGACTCATCTGGAGTCGCGTGGATCAGTGCCCCACACGCTATCAAGCCCAACACCTCAGAGCCAAGATTCCTTGAAACACTGTTGCAGATGGTCTTACTTGTTCAAGGAGCCGCTCAGCGTGAGATAGTTACGCAGTGGCGGATAAAAACGACCAGGCCCTCTGAACGACTTAGATGCCTGGCCGTGGGCCCCAGCTTTAACAAAACGAATGTTTTTGCCAGCCAAGATGCGAGCAAGATTGCTGCTGGACAGCACCTGTACATTGTCGATTCTCAATCCTGCACGGCCGCAGCGCACACAACACGAGGCAACCATGCAGCACACGGTACGCAGATCTCAGCACGCTGAATCATGACAGCTGCACTGTGCACACGTTCTGTTTCTCTGCAACATCCACTCCCTCGACCCCTGTGCACGCAACTAATGCAGCCTCATCCTCCAAATAGACCTGGCCAGGTCGCTTGGCCACGAAGAACCTGGGCAACCCCAACCAGCTATTGAAATGGAGCAACCAACCAGCCATTGGTCCTCTAGACTCTAGACCCAGCGTCCTCCAACAACGATTACTGGGAGGCTTGCGCAAGGCTGTCCGAGTCAAACCTCGGTGACACCCACACTAAACCTGCACACGCCGGGCTCTGCAATGATGTGCAATACTCAACAGTTGGGACGGCTGAGCTGACCTCATCACCGACGGTTCGCTGAGTCTGGGGCCACTCAGTGCCGAATTCCCCGCTGACCTGCACAGTGCATACATCACTGCCCCCCGATGAGTAGCCACTTTATCCACTTTGAGATATTGCGATGTGTACAAACACCCGCCTCCCACAGATCTTTGTCTGCGTCGTACTGGCCAAGGATTCCTGTCCTTGGAGGCTTGGGGATGTAATGGTTGAAGCATCAGGATTAGGGAAGGTAATGGTTTAAGGGCATAGGGACGTATGGGGTTAAGAAGTTTTGAGGCCTTTTTTTATCCCCAGAGTTTACGGAGAATGCATTCCGGGCTCGGTCTGAGTCGAGCAAGGAGCCCTCCTCTTTTGTCGACAAGACTCGTGCCGCAGAGCGTTCAGACCATGATGCAAGACTTGCTGGACCGGCAAAAAGCACACAGCGTGGCGAAAGCCGCAGCAAAGGCAGCAAAGGCGAAAGCCATGCCAAAGGCGAAGGCGAAAGCCGCAGAAAAGGTGAATTCGAGTAGCAAGGCGAATGCCGCGCCGAAGGTGAAGGCAAAGCAAACATGCTTACTTTTTTCCCCACGTGGAGGCAAGGCTGAAAGCGGCGAAAGCTGCAGAAAAGGCGAATTCGAGCAGCAAGGCGAAAGCCACGCCGAAGGCGACCGCAACGGCAAAGCAGACAAGGGAGACTCTAAGAGAGAAAGAGAAAAAAGGGGGCTGGCCGTCTCTACAAGTATAAGCAAGGATTCCTGTCCTGAGCAATGTAGGTACCATACGCCATATGTTGACTACAAAGAGGCAGCACAGCTCTGAAGCAACTAAGCTTTTTTTAAGTCCCCGACTCGCCCCTGTTGTCGTTGTCGGAAAGAATCCGCACACGAGCACCCCTGACAACAACTGGTTGTCGCATCGTCAAGCTCATTCCTCGTCTTCTTTCGCAACTGCAATAACGCACATATTGTTTGGTTTACCTTTCTGGCGGTGATGTCCCCATTCGCTGAACTGTCATCATCATGCACAAGCGGCACAGGTCTGACACTTGCGCCAAAATCATTGGTCACAATGCGTTTGCTCATGCCGTCACTGCAACAGACTGGCCTGACGAATCCCGGCTTCTTCCCCTTGGCCCAGTCATCTAGGCATGCTACGCACGAGCCCGAGCGGAGATGGAAGACGAAACTTGGCGCCCGTGCAGGCGATGGGCTGTCAGGCTCCAATGCTCGTCGAGGCAACGGGGACTTGGGCTCGGCCTCTTGGTGGAAGCACTATGAAGCACTTCTCAGAGTTTTCACAACATGGTCCGCATCTGTTCTTGGTTCCTATGTCGACCACATTATCTGCGCCTTGTAGTCTGAATGAAGTCTGTGTTAGTGTCGCTCGCCCCACTGGCCCCACCTGCCCCACTTGCCCCACTGGCCATCGCCGTTGTTGTCTCCCGAGAGGAAAAGTCCGCTTCACGGCCGGCCCAGTGTGAGGCGGGGGAGGCAGGGGCCCGGGAAGCCTCGGAAAAAAGAACCTCAAGGGCTCAAGAATTCGAGAGTACAAGTCCGCCTCACACTGGGCTGACAGTGAGGCAGACTTGTGGCTTGGCCTAGCACTGCTCCGCTTGCCTGGGGCAAGCGTGGCAAGCGGGGCAAGTGGAGCAGAATGAGTTAGCTGGGCAAGTGGGCGGGGCAGTATGAACTCTCTTCTTGAAAATTGAAAAGCAGGTGGGGCAAGTGAAGCCTAAAAGCTTGTTATGCCGAAGGCGCACCATCCAGGATTCCTACAGCTTTTTTTTCATGCCCAGTGCTGCAAAGTAGGGCTTGTTTGTTGATGCCGTGTTCGGTTTGCGGCTTAAAGACAACCCCAATGCTTGGCGTAGCTGGGTTGTCGTCTCGTGGAATAGATGTCAATGTATATCTGTCTAAACCCAATTAGTGCGACTCATTTGTCAGAGCTGCCTTTCGCTTTCGCGCGGCCTTTGCTTTGGCCCTTGAAGGCACCTGGCGCATTGATACACTGGATATGCCACATGATACTGTCTGATGATCAACAATTCTTCAACCCAAGTACTCTTTGAGAAAGCCGCAGCCACGTGAAGTCTGAGGACTTGGCTGGTGGAGGTCTCATCGCTGCCTGGCGAGGACGAATGCTGTCACGACAAGGGTTAGTCCCCGCCTGCTTCAATATGTTTCATGGGAAGGAGGGAGGTTTGTGTGCGCTTCGCAGCTCCATGGCTTGTGCCACTCGATTCCCGCCTTTCGCCGGCTGCTGGAATCCTGGCAGGAATTGAAAAACGAGTCACATGAGTTGTTCAGCCATTGGGGCTTCCTTGCCTCACGATGACTTGTCTTCATCCGCTTTGCCTGCTGGCATGTCATCACAAGAACACAAAGGCAGACAGGCCTGCTGGCAGTGACATGCAGTCGCAGGGGTATTCTGCGGTAGAGTGAGATAGAAACACAGTTGACAAGAAGACATGCTCGGGCACCCTCGCGGAATTTGCTCCAGGCGTGGATGGCACTTCTGCCTGCCATAAGCCATTAGCTCGTGAAAAGGCAGCTATACTTCAGAAGCACTCGTGCCGAAGCAAAGATCAAGCGCACACTGGTCCATTGACATCGACCCCTCTGCCCGTCGAGCCTCCACCCGCTCGGTCTCCCTCGCAGCCTGCTCAGCTGCTTCTCGTACTGCCGCCTCCCGCTCCGCTGCCTCCCGTGCTGCCCGCTTTGCAGCCTCCCGCGCAGCCTGCTCCGCTTCTCGCGCAGCCTGCTCTGCTGCAACTCGCGCTGCCTGCTCCGCTGCCTCCCGTTCTGCCTGCTGTGCTGCTTCGCGCTCTGCCTGCTCTGCTGCCTCTCGTTCTGCCTGCTCTGCTGCCTCCCTTGCTGCCTGCTCTGCTGCCTCTTGTGCAGCCTTCTGTTGCATGTCGATCTCGATTATCTCCACCTCGTCACCATCCTGCACTTCCTGCTCTGCCTCTATCTCCACTGCCGCCTCCTCTTCCTCTTCCTCCTCCTCGCCGTCATCATCAGCATCATCATCATCTTGCGTGGTTTCTTCCGCGACACCCTGCTCTGCTTCTTGCTCCCCCGTCTCTTGCTCCTCCTGATCCTCCTCTTGCTCCTCTTGCTCCTCATCCTCCTCCTCCTCCTCTTCAGGCTCAGTTTCGACTGGCCTTGGTGAAGACAAGATGCAAGGACCCCAGGGCTAGCAGCCATCATGGTGCAAGAAGACTATCGGGCAAGCGTGAAGCAATCTCCAACCGAGCCCACGCACACACAAACACAACCTCATTCTAAAGAGAGATTCTGTCTGAGCTTGTGGCTGCTCCTTCGGCTCTTTAGGTTTAACCTGTCGGTCGGATAATACGAACCTACATTTTGAAAGTTCGAGGGTGCACAAGGGAGAATCTGCCATTCAAGTCGTCTCTGACTACCAGGCGCCGATTGTTTTTGACCTCCTCACCTTTCTGGGAAAATGTGGCTCGCCTATTTGCGAAAGATCGTCCTGGCATTGCTGGGTGAAGATTGATCGCACTGGCCACGACTGATTCTCGCATTGCGCAGCAAGCTCGCCTACCGTGTCTCACAGGGATCAACGGCAACGTATGGATTGCTGATCTGCCAACCAACGCAACAGGCGAGAAGCCTTCTTTCTACAACGCTCGCAAGCCCACATCTACCCTGACTTGTCTTCCGGCATGTTTCGGCATGTTCTGAGCGCCCAAGCAGTGCTCAGAAATAGAATGCAACAGAATGCAACAGGCCTCAGGCAAAGACAAAGGGCCGACCAGGCAGAGTGAAAGGTTCGCCTCAGACCACGAGGCCAAGAATTGGAGGGCAAGTTTCCAGAGTGACCAAGTCCTCGTTGAAGCAGATGGCGCAGTCCCCTTCCTTCTTTTTGCCACATTTGACCTTGTACTGATCGTAGAGCTGCAACGCCTTTTTAAAGAAGCTGGCTTCGTCCATTCTCGAGCATGTCCCATGCTTTTCCCACTCATGCTGCCAGAAGACCTCGTTGGCCTCACCGAACTCAGGACAAGATATCCACTTCGCCTCCATCTCGCTTCGGATTGATGTCAAAGCGCTGACATCGAACTTCGGTCCCGGGCATCCATTGTCCCACTCGGGCCACAGGCCATGAATGGTCCAATTGGCTGAGTCTTTACATTTCTGAAGCCTCAACTCGTAGCATTCACCGCCCGGATAGACGCACTTTGCAGACTCGACCGATCTCACTGCAACGCACAGGAGGCACAGTTGGAGGCACCGGGGCAAACTGGAAGCCATGATGCTGCGATACGCTGGGCCGGATGGAGGATATGAGCCAGGCTACACGGCTTCACAGTAAAATCAGCATCAATCAACAACGGGGGTGTGGCTTCGGTGGGATTCCTCACTCGTTCACCTGAACGTCGTGTGATGTGATCCCTGCCTTCTTCCACGGAAGCAGGCCACAGATCCTGGTGAGAGAAGTGTCAAGTCCTAGCCTAGATGCTGAAGTGATGTCAGAGCACCGTGACACCCCTGAACTCCAACATTTCTAGCGGTCCAATCTCAAGAGCTTGCGAAGGCCGACACCTTGGGCCCCCTCTTCGGGAGGCACGTGGGATGGGGTGTGGCTTTGTGGGGCACTGTGGATCCCGGTGGCCTGACTTGCGACGCAAGCATCGCCTCGTTGGCCAACCTGTGTAACCAAAGGAAAATGAAGGTCAAAGAGTCAAAGGGCTTTGCTTGTAGGTTTACACTCAAGATCCGGCAGCACCACGGGCTGCAAGGCCCGAGCCTGACGTTGCTGTCGTCCAGGAGGCCATAGAACCAAAGCTTCCACTGGATGGTTCTCCAGTCATAGTCCTGCAGTCACTGGGCTACAAGCACGCCCACAATTGGACAGATTGGAGAGATCAGGCAGCTGGCCAGGTGCCACAACAGCTGTATTATCCGGGCCTCAGCTGCCAGGCCATGCTTGGGCAACACTTCGTCCTGGACTGCCTTGACCTGAGCGGTGCAGCAATCTGCCTGGATCACCGGTCGAGAAACTCTGGCATGACAAAGGGTAACTCTTCTCTGAGCTGGTTTTCCAATCCGCCTGACCTAGATGGGTTGGAAACGAAGAGCTCAGCAGTTTTTTTGGAGCAAGATGCCCTGAAACTGATCATTGACATAAGGCATGCGTACCGAGCACGGTGATGTAATCTAGGGCCAACAGGCCTGCAGTGAGACACCCCGTATGATTTGCAACTGCATCTGTAGTCAGTGGCAGCTGACTGGTAGTAACGTAGTCGACAGGATTGACTGACTTGTTCACATTTCGAGTCTCGCACCAGAGCTGCTATACCTGGGCAGACTGACCCCCACCCAGAATCAGAATTCAGATAGCAAACGCCCGCAGCCAATGCAGTTCTTCCGGCCTTTTCTGTCTGCCTGCTCCTTCACCTCCTGCTGGTACCTCTGCCTCATGAGCCACGCTAAGTGTAAACCTTAAGACCTGACCTGTCGAAACACCTAATTGGAGACGGTTGAGGTTCCGACGCAGTGAATGCCGCAACGAGTGCCGCAAGCAAACCTGACTTTGCAAGCGTTCAGAAATGTTTGCCATGGAAGCTCATCCAAGAATCCAGTGAAAAGAGACAATGCAATTGGCTCATGCGGCTGCACATGGTGCAAGAGTATAACATTTGACGGAGCATAGTCGGCAACGAGAAATCTGGGCGGCCGTAAAACTATGCAAAGAAGCCGTTGCACCATCGAATCTCCTGCTTGACGAGGGGGGAGTGCCTTGACACACTCCAATTCGAATCCAGCGTCAACATGCAACTAAAACTCACCAGGGAATGCGATAAGCCGTCCTTTTTGAACAAGCAATTTGAGCCCGGCACTGCCCGTTTTTGAACTTGACGTGGGTCAAGTGGAAGCTGGCCAAAGTCTGACAGGGCAGGGAGGGTGAAGTGCTGCTAGAGAATCGTGAGGAATTCTGCGGAATGGAAAAAAAGGGTGCTGAATATGACGGCTTCTTTCTTGCACATTCTTAGCTTTATGATTCTTTGTGCAGACAACCGGCGGGGGGGGGGGGGGAAGAATGAAAGAGAAGAGAAGAGGTCAGTTCTTCATCCCCACATTTTGCCTGCATTGATCCTCCTGTTTTGTATGTGTTCAGGAAGTGACAAAACTGCGAAGAAGAGAGTTGAGAAAGGGATCGGACAAAATCAGAAAGCGCAGGCCTGTCTGCCGTACATGCCGAATCCTTTCCCCAGATCAAACCCCAAAGGCCCCTGCCCACATTGGCCTACAGTTATTGCATTTGTTCGTTCACCTTCTCTGTCCGTTCTTTAATCTTCGTTCTGGAAAGAAAAAAGGAAAGAGACAGAGAGAGAGAGAGAGAGACAGAGAGAGAAACAGCGACAGGGCAAACTACGTAGGCTTATATGGTTGCATGATCCTGTGAGCTGCCTGGCTCTCTATCTATTTGCCTATCTGGCAACGCAGCTTCGTTCTTGTGTATTGCAATTTCATGCATTGGTTTCCTATACACTTTAACCCTTACAAGTAGTTAAGTAGTGCTTTTGTTTGTTATATTGGATCATAAATGCGCACCTATAATGATATGCTGAGTTGTGTTCACGGAATCTTCGGGACGTACCATTAATATAACTCAAAGCTGTGTTCCACGCAAGTGGCCGCCAGGCCTCCTTGATGCCTTTTTGCATCTCCTGCATCTTCTCCGTGGGTCTGCAGAATGCCCTTCACAGGGATGGTACGCACACTTGCTACCTAGCTCAGATGACCCCTACAGCAACCAGATGCGTCCAGCAAATCTCTCTGCACCAGAATACCCCGCAGGTCCCAAAAGTGTGTGACGTCTAGCACAGCGCATGCCACAGCACGCTGCATGCCGACCGGCGATCTAGCTGGCTGCGTCTGGCTCAGCCGGACGCTGCCCACTCGCTCTCTCTGTCATTTTGCTTGTTTGTTTCTTTGGTCTCTCTCTGTCTCTCCACACGCTTGACCCCCGGAGGGGGAGCCTCGAGAAACGCGCGAGTTCGAGGGTCTGTTTGTGTGAAAAAAGTGAGCACGGTTCGGACTTCAACGAGCCGAGACATCAAACAAACCACACGACTCAACAACCCCACCAGGCAACTAGCAAGACTACCATTCCACTGAGAGTGCATGGTGATTTTGTTCCTCTTCTTCTTTTGCTGAACGCGAGCGCTTCCGAAAGCCAGGTCTTCGGTGAAACTCTCGCAGGTGACTTTGTCGGAGAGGACAAAAGGCTCGACTGTTTCCCCCGGAGAAGAAAAATCCCTCTCGCTGTCTCGCTCTCTCTCTCTCTCTTTCTCTCTCTCCCTCTCTTATTCTGGGCAAGCCCTTCCTCCCTTCCTCCCACCCTCCCTTCCTCCCTTCCTCCCTTTCTCTTCCTTCCTTCTTTCCTTCCTTCCTTCCGGCACGTTTTTCTGTCTTTCTTTCTCTCCATTCTCTCTTGCTCTCTTTCTTTCTTTCTCGCTTTCTTTCGCTTTCTCTCTCTCTCTCTCTGCACGGCACCTCTCGGGAAGCGGCCCTGTGAGCGGGCTAAACCTGAAGCCCGGGAAGTCCGGAAGCAGATGAGGTAAGGGGAAGGAGAGCGAGAGACGGAGACGGAGACAGAAACGGAGCATCTCGACTGCAATCACGCGATCCCGTGCCACCACGTGCAGATCTGTGGTGAGGAGCAGGCCCCTGCGTGTCAGACCTGGCTCAAAGCCAGGCTGCAGCTGGGCGATCTTTTGCAGAGCGTGCGTAAGGGTCCGGCGGCAGGAAAACCACAACATTCGGCTCGGGATCTCTCCTGCAGGCCGATGCAAGCAGCGCGTCCACGCCGCGATAAACCGCAAAAAACCGCCACTGGATCCGGCTGCCGCCCGGCTTTCTTAGGGCCGAGCTCCGCGATCTCGTATTGGATGCAAACTCCTGACCAAGGCCCAGACCAGACCCAAAGCTTCGGGTATCCGATCCCACCCAAAGCTCAACTGGCAGAGTTCGGCCACCCGATCCACCAAATAATAGCATGCCTGACCGCTCGATGATGTGGAGGAGTCGCAGTGGGGAAGCCTTCCAGCAATCTACATGCTGCAGATAACAGACCTGTCAGTGCTATGACGTCCATGTTGCAGCCACAAAGGCCACGGATGAGGTGCGCGCACATGTGGGCGCCCAGGCATCTTTGCAGGTGCCGACACGATCCCTTACCTTGGCGATGGCATGCGACAGCTGTTTATTCTCGATCTCTTGCTCAGCATGGGCCAAACACACCGAATCTTCTGAGGCAACTGCAAGGAAGCGGCACATGTCGGTTTCCTCGAGCAATGTGTGATGCCAGGAAGGATAAGGAAACTTTTCCAGCGGTCATTGCCGCTTAAGGGGGCATGCATTGTGTGTGTGTGTGTGCGCGTGTGTCTGTCCAGGGAAGTCCAACTAGGAGCTAGGCCCATGCAAGTTTCGCAACAGCCGGTTACGGTTTCACAGCTGAACTGTGGCATGTTAGGCAACGAAATGCTCCTTTCTCAACTCTGGCCAAGAAGCCTTTGCACGCATGTGCTTGTACATGTAAGCGAGGGCCTCGCAGTCATTGTCAAGAGAAGGGCAATGGAACACAGGATGACAGCTAGAACGCAGACACCCCAGCCTGGTTTCAACTTTTTCTGCACTCTTTCGACTTTCCGCTTTTAACGCTGCGCATTCGGTGTGCTATACTCTGGCTTCAACATGGCTTCAGCTGCAACTGCTAAGCTTCAGCCTCATCTGCCCCGAACTGCAGGGAGAGGCATCGATTGCGCCTACAGCACAATCAGCACATGCCATAAGCGAGAGCGCATGTGGGGCTGTGGAACCGAGGACTGCGCAGATCTGGAGCCTTTCCGAAAAGGCGCGTCTCCTCTCAAGGCGCAGTACTGCCAAAATCTGCCAAAGCAACTCGAAAGCTCGAGAGGTTTAAGGGGTTTAAGGGGTTTAAGGGGTTTAACTCGGAGGGAGAGGTTTGGAGGGATTCGGGGGGGATGGGCACTTGGCCACCATCCTCAGCCTCACTTTTGACTCCCTCACAGGTCTCAGAGAATGTTAAAAGCTCAAGCGACTATCGAAAACCTCACCCCGCGTGGCTGTTGACACATCACTGCGTCACTGAATCAAATACAACAAGACATTATCGGCTGGGCGTCGCAGTGCCGCTTGCAGCATCACTGTAGCATCAGGCGCGTAACCAGCACACTTCTCGCATCTGCTCGCTGTCTCGGCTCTGAAGTTGTCATATCCCCTGTGTATCTCTCTGTCTCACGCAATATACGCAATCAAACGACTCTAAATTACTAATGGTCTCTGGTTGCTTGAGCTTGGGGCTGCGCCTCATCGGGATTGATCCGTATGTATCTGCAAGCCAAGCCAAGGCATCACGCCGTCACAGGGTCTCACTGAGTCAGTACACTTGCAGGGAGTGTCAAAGGCCCAGCCTGGCCGAAGGGAACCGCCGCATCACCTATCTCTCACGGGATTCGGAATTTTCAGGCAAACTTCTGCTCCCTCTCTCAAGATGCCTGGATCAGCTCATCCCGGACATCTGCGACCTACTGACAACTCTACAGCTCCACAACAGGTCTTTCACCTTGCTTCGGCGCCAAAGCTGCTCGGTCGCACGATCCTCTCTGCATCTGTGCTTGGGCCGGGGCGGAAGTTCCACAGCCAATCTCGAGGCACAATATTCGGATGCATGAAGAGTGAGGTCGGTCCTGCACAGGCTCCAAGGGGAGCGCAGTCGACGTGAACTCTACAGTGACTCTACAGTCTCGACAGAGCGCTGCGGTGGCCGCGGTGTGAGGCTCTGGAAGGGCAAAGCGTGTGCCCTTTAGGAGCTGGGGCTGTCCTTCAGTTCATTGCACCAACTCTTCAGCACCTCCACCTGGTTTCTCAAGTGACTTGATTCAAGTGATAAATGTGCGCTTGCTCTCCGGAACACGCAACACCTCGATCGGTTCCCGCATCCGCGATACATTCCCACAGTTTTTTGGCAGATGCAATCCCGTTTGCCGTACTTCTTCCAACCTCAAGCACAAACTGCCTGGTTGAAAAGTGGCGAGATGGGGTCAGTTCTTCTCGGGGCCAGTCTCGCGAACAAACATGGATGTCGGCAGGATTTCCTGTACTCGGGCTACAAACGTCATACCCATTGTCTCCGCAGTCGTCTGTGAGCTTCTGCGTGGATTTCGACGGAACTCCCAGTGCCTCTGCTACAGGACTGATACTGTTTGCCTTGGGGGTCCCTGAGATTCTGCAGACAATCATGGATTTCGGTGAGGTTTCTCGTGCCTCGGTATGGATTTGGTGGCAAAGTCCCCACCAGAAAACTCCGACTGCTCATACTGAGGGTGCGTCGTGGATTTTATAGCTTCGCTTACAACAGCCATGCCACTGAGCAAACACGCACTGAGCAAACACGCACACGAGTAGACTGTGTACGACAGGAAAGGGTCAATGCCACAAGCAATGGCACTGCTCGCGCCAGCCTTCTTCGCCTTCAGGTCCTCCACTTGACACTCTCACAACTTGGTGCGGAGTCCATCTCAACAATGAACCGTCTCTCAACGCTGAACCGGCTCCGAACGCTAACCTCCTAACCCTCTCGTCAGCGAAAGCCCATGAACCCACGAACATAGCGATGTCCTGCGCCACTTCGTTGAAGATGGGGTCTTCACCAAGAAGACGAACCTGAATGCACTTGTCACAGGCATCCACAAGGAGAGGTTGAGGCCAAGATAAGCCAGGGGTTGACTGGGTTGATTCTTACGCCTTACGCAGAAGAGAAGCCGGGCATGAGACATGCACTTTGCAGCAAATGCAGTCCTTTCACCTCCACGCTGCGCTACACTGCCTCGCAGTTCCACAACGAAACCTTCCCAGATGCTCGGCACATGCACTGTCAGCAGCAGACCATGGTGAGCCCTGGGGTGACACAGCCCCTTTGCCATCCTGACTCATGCCGAATACATGGCAAAGCGGCCTATCCATAATTTGGATTCAAATACGTTCAAAGGCTTCAACTTGAAATTGCTTCTCCTCTTAGAGCACAATCTCTGCGCGAAGCTTTACTCTACCGCGCCAGAGAACCTGAGTCAACGCTGACCAAAAAGGTTTATCTGTACCAAGGCTTCATGGTTCGACCGACATTTCGTCGCGACCATGGAAACTGTCCCAAGCATTTCGTGGCGATGTGGCTCTGGCTCTGCATACCAAGGTGCCTCCGCGCTTTGTCTAAGCACAAGTACCCTGAGCAAAGCGCGCAAGCGCGCTGTTCTCCAAACTTGCACACTTATACTGCAGGCTTTACTGGTATTGGAGTCGGAGTAGTGGCTGTGGTAGCAGGGGTAGCGGGTAGCAGTGGTAGTGGCAGTAGTGCTAGTCGTGGTCGTCGTCGTCGTCGTCGCAACCCGCAGTGTCGCACGTGCCATACGCTCTCGGGTCAGATTTTCAGCTGCGAGCCTCACTTGGTACGAACGTGCATGAAGGGAGGCGGGGTTGGGGGCGAGCTCTATGACCAAGAATCGAAGCCCCATGTCAACAACAACCTCAAGCCAAGACCCCAAATCCGATAAACCTTGCTTCAACTCTTACCCCACAACCTAGAAGAGCAACCCGAATGGATTCACCAGTAAAATGGAGCACTCCCGGCTTGCTCTCGAAAGCTTTGCTTTAGCAGCGTGACAAAAAATGTCCACATGTAACTGTTTGGATTTGGGTTTAGGCCTCTGGGTGACCAAGATGGGGCTGAGGCCTTGGGGTCAACACTGAAAACGGAAATCTTTAACCCCATGGGCACCACAAGCCCACAAGTTTAGGTCCCTGAAGCGTTCAATCCCAAGATCGTGAAGCCCAACCCCTTACCAGGAGAATGGGTTTTCCAGCTTCGAAGTTGAGAAGGAACTTGGCACAGCGGTTTTGTGAAACAGATGCGTTACACAAGACACGAATGTGTGACAAGTGAGCGAACGTGCGGTGACTAGCGCGCGTCGGAAGAATGATCAATAACTGTGGTGGTCGTAGCAGCAGTCGCAAAAGCAACCAACGATCTGGACTAGAATGCTTCCTGAGCCAGTAGGGTTTGGCTGTAGGTCTGTTGTGTTGGTGTTTTAGGAAGAAGGTTCGAATTTCTTATGCATCAGCAGCCCCGCGAAAGCATGCATCTTCGAGGGGGGAGGGGTAGCTAAGTAGTAGTAGCAGTAGAAGCAGTAGGATGAATAGTCGCAGCAGAAGCAGTAGGAGCAGTGGTAGTAGTCGTCGTCGGCGTCTTAGTAATAATCGTCGCCGCCGTCGCCGTCGTCGGTCGCAATCATTGCATGTGTCTGTTGTTTCTTTGTAGCAGGGGAAAACAACAGAAGAAGCCATTGTAGCAGAGTTTGGTGCTAACCAGACTTGATTGGCCACTGGCACCTTGGTCACACCTCAAGTGATGCACAAGCCTGTGAGTCACGCCTCTGGGCTGGTACTCTTCAGCAAGTCATGCTAGCAGATACACTCTCATCGACTCGAGGAACAAACGGCGGAAAGCCGCTCTGGAACTTACTTCTTTTGCACGATCGGCCTTCGGCGCGACGTCGAATTAAGCAGGGGCGCTTGAAAAACGTCACTGACGCTGACGCTGAGAACGACTTTATGATACTAAGTATGTCAACTGCTGCTGCAAGCCCTGCTGGGAAACGGAGTTTTTTTTTGCTACTGTGTGCATTCGTTGAGCTCAACGTGCTATCCAAAGGCTTCGCTAGCCAACGCCTCTCTGTCCCCTCCTTCTCAAGCTGAAACTCCTTGCTCTGGCACATAGGACTTGAAGGAGCAGAGTGAGGAAAGACGCAGCTGTCGACTCACAGGGAGCGCCGTGAGTCTGAAAAACGTCGAAATATCAAGGCATCAGCATCATTCCACGTCATTGACTCTCCTCTGCAGCCTTGCCAGAATAAGCTCACGACAAGGCTCATAGGGCTCTGTGGCAACGCGCACATGTTTGACCCCCGCGCGAAGCTTGTAGGCCAAAAGAAGCTAGACTATGCAAGGGGCAGTCTCTCTTGTGCAGGAACTCACTTCAGAGGTGAACACTTCAAGCAACGCGTGCCTTGCAAATGAACACTTTTGTGTCTGCGAGGTTCGTAATTGTAGCACGATGCAGCTCAACAAAACTCTAAACTGATAGCTAATGCCTGGCTCCGAGGGTCCGAGGACACATCTGCAGGCGCAACTACAAACAAGTCTTTATACCGTACCTGAAGTCATGTGGCTATGGTGGTCTGTCTGGAAGAGGAGACACCTCAGCAACAGCTATGCTGCACACTCCAAGAGTTGCTGTTATTACAATGCAAGAAACCGTCACGAAGGCAGTCGGATGTACCAGCTTGGTGAATGCGCACAGGCCAACCATACAAGCAAGTCGCCTGCGATGGGCGAGTTCCAGCAAGTCCCGGTGATCTGAAGACCTACGGAAAGCACCAAGTCTCCGCAGGATGCATTGCGCAACGAATGCGCCGCTCAAAGCCATCATGCAGAATCTCGGCTCTGTGGGTACCAGCACGTGCACGGGCAAGTGGACCAAAATGGAATCACAAGTTCCCTTGATATATGCCTGCTGCGATGTTGCCACGATTCCGAAGCACGCATCACCTGGAGCCAACGCGGTTTGAAATTCTCAAAGCGTCTGTCCCAGTGTCAGATGCTCGAGCATGCTGGATTTTTTTCAGTCTTGACAATCCTGCGTCTGGACATACTCCTCGAAAACAATTTAAACTTACTTTCTTGGAAGCTCCTGCAGCGCAGCGTAAGATGGGCCAGCGTTAGCAACTCGAGCCAGCGCTGGCCCAGGGCTGGCCCTGGAGCCAGCGCTGGCTTCTCGACCCAGGCGCGTGCAAGCACGCTGCCCCGGCGCTGGGGCTGGCGCAACGCTGGCTCGGGGTGCTACTAGTAGAAGAAGAAGTAGTAGTAGTAGTAGTAGTAGTAGTAGTAGTAGTAGTAGTCGCAGCTTTGTTTTTGTGAAACTTTTCGAATAACCGCTCCCAACGTCGAAATACTCGGGTTCCAAACTCTCACCGGGTGCTTCCTAAGTCGCACGTTTGCAAACCTTAACCCCGGATAAATGGATAGACCCCACCAGAAGTCTTCAGCCTTGATGTCCTCCAGAACATGGGTGTAAGGCTCACGGTTCAGGTTGGGGGTTCGGGGGGACAGGAGACTTCATCCCGAAGGTCCGGCAGGACATGGCTTTTGGGGGGCCCTTCTTGTGTGTTCCTTTTTTTTTAGGGGGGGAGGGGGGAGGATGGTGTTTGTGCTTTGGGGTAGAAGCTTATTTGAGGGCTTGTGGTGTCTGCCTTCCTCTCAGTGGACTCCTTGATGACAGCGTCCCTGGGCGCTCTGTCCCTTTAAACAAGTTGCTGAGTTTGTAATGTGGGACAGGGGCTCAGTGCTCAGAGTTTGGAGGCACTAGTGCCAGAGAGGCATAGGCTGGTGCGGAGCAGGAGCAGGGTGATCCTGCAGCATCTAATCATGCGGCAGTGCAGCTCTGTAGCATTTGCACTCAGGCTTGTGCTTATGACTGCTTATGGTCAGCGGTTTTTGCAGTTGTGAATTGGAACGCTGGCGCAAAAAATCGCTCATTAGATTATTCGAAGTTTTGCTTGCGAAAATAGGCGGAACCCGAGGTTGTCGCTTTCGATTTGGAGTGCGGGCATGGATTTGGTTGGCGTAGGAAAACGCAGGAGAACGCGCAGGTGGTTCCAAGATACGGTCTGCCGAAGTTATTTGTCGGAATCAACGGCCGATCCAAGCCAAACCGAGATTTATCGGCACCAACCATGCCAAACAGAATCACACCAGCTACTAGCCGATGCAAAAGGAGAAAGAATACTGGCATCATGGCCTTGCGGATTCTCAGAATGGACCCAGCCAAGATTTGCATCTGCTCCTGTTCGAGAGGCCGGATGCCGTCATGTAAAACCCGAACTGTGATTGGCGACCCACACATCTATGGCCAGGTATGGTATCCTTGGAAGCCGTGGCTGTCGGCCCCATATGCCCGAGCCTCGCCAACTGGATCAGGGCCACAATGCGCTCAAAAGCTGAAAGAGTCCCTTCGTTTCCCATTCTGCAGCGGGCCGCTTGGGTGCATTGGGTATGTCTCGTCCAGGCGGTGACCTCAGAACTTCATGCTGCCGTGGGCCCTGCACATGCACAGGGAGCATGCGCTGAGGGTCGTGCAGACTTCGCGACGCGCCCCGTACTACCTCACCAGAACCAGATGACTACAAGCATATTCCAAGCTGCAGAACGGGCTGGTTCAAAGGTGCTCCAGGAACGGAGTCAGAGTATGAATATGCTAGGGGGTGCAACCGTGTCGCCTTGAAGAGCTGCCACATACCGGCGAAGGCGTCCTCCAAAAGAGCCTGCGCAGTCACGCGACATTCCAGCAAAATCCCAGCATGCAGCGAAGCTGTTCTCTGGGTCAGTGATGGTCAGAGATTCTCAAACTGTCGGCAGTTACTCGATTCTTGCCGGCCTCTGAATACTGGAGGATGAAGTGGTCCGTGTGGTCCGTGGGGTCTTCCCAGTTCATTTGAAGATTGCTCCCGCTCGACCGAGGATGCGATGTAGCCTCGGATTGGTCTGCACCATTCCGACGGGTATGGCAAGAAATAAGAGTAGCATGTACCCCGCAAACAGTGCAGCGAAGTGCAGAGCAACATCGAGAATGCCTGAGCTACCGGCTTCCTTTGCCAGACTGAGCGGTGGTAGAGAGGCAGCCTCCACTGCTACTCGCAGCGACATTCAAGACTGAGACTGGCCCAAACATGTCTCAAGCATCCTCATGGAAAGGTTGCCTGCAGCAGGCTCCTCTGCGGAAACTCCTCAATCTGCGATGATGGCAGATCTAGTATACGGTCAGAAACGGTCCACACCCTCCGGCGCCAGTTGGTACTTCATCCAAGCCACCTGAAGCTCTTATGGCACTGGCCTCTTTTTCAAGGAACTCCTGTGGGGCAAGGCAGCTCAGAAACTCTTTGGCATGAAGCACCAGCCACTGCCGTTTTTGCAGTGTGTTACTCGCTACAGCCCATGTCTGATCGCTGTTGGTGCACAAGTTAGGATAAGGGCATTTCTAGTTGTTCTGGCCACGCTACGTTCCACGCTTGCCCTGAAATAGTACCTACCACATTTGCTGACAACTTTTAACACGCTTGGAGCCGCTCCCACCTGAACAGTCTGATCCACTTTTACACATGTGGATACTAGCTACTACTAGACTAGAATACCCAAGCGAACTCTGTGATTTGTGACATGCAAGCCTAGGCCACGTGTAGAACCGATGCGTGTCCAAAACTATCAGGCGAAAGATCAAACTGTACGGCCAATGCTTCATGCCATCATGGCTCTCAACGACGCACCATTGAACATCAGGGCTTCTACCATGCTGCTTTCAAAGCACGTTCTCCCGGCGTGCCGTGGTTCTCAGAGCGTGGATGGCCAGCCGAGCCGTGTGGAAGTTTAGAACTGCAGCCAGACTTGAGAGGTACACGAATGGTGCGGGGGATTTTGGCAAGCTTTCGTCAATGTCCCGACCGGGAGCTGAGAGCTGCGCACAGCTGAGGCTCATGAAGCGGCGATGCGACGATGCATTCCCGTCTCGATGTAAAACTGAGCTTCACAAGGTACAAGCCTGCCGCATGTGTGTAATTAACCTCAGATCGCTCACGTTGCAAACATCGCCTGTATGCTTTCTCAAGTCCTAGGTTTACTACTGTGGCGACTTCTCTGTACGTGCCTGCAATCTCCGCAAGGCCGAAACAAACCGTGACAAGAATACTCGCCTTCAGTGTGATTCATTCAGGGAACACGCTTGGGACGCAAGGCACAACAGTGCACAGAGGTTGGACAAAGCAGACAGCAGCCTCTACTGCATTCACACTTCAAAAACGTTGAAGGTCAAAGTAAAGTTAATCTCCTCGTATATCAAAACCAAGGGTTCAATGCAATGACCGGAATATACAGGAGTGGGTAGGCTGAGGAGGCAATGCCTGGGCCAAAGTTTGGGTTTCCCGATTCGAACGCATGGTCCCAGCGCCAAAGTCCTGCTTCTTGAATGAAGAAGACATTTCCTGTCCCGCTTTCTCCTCCGTGCCACTGTCTTCAACATGCTCAAAGGCTCAAAACCGCGGGGCTTTCCTTCATAGCTCAATAGCCTATTGGCGAATGGCTGTCAAAAGCTGTAATGTTTGCCTCGGCCCTGCAGTCCTCCTCCTTTTTGCTGGGACCCAAAGCCATAAACGATCGCTTCACCTGGTGAGAGTGGCAGTTCATTGTGGAGACACCATGTCCCAGCATTGAGCCCAGGCCTTCGGCCCATGCCGGTGCGCGGCGTCGCTTGGCGAGCCAGGGCAGGTGAGCCTTAGGCGTCGCTTCAATGCACCGCTTCAATGCCTGCATTAACGCGCAATCGCGCAATCCGAGCATGGGCTTGATTGGGTGAAGCCAAGCCACTGTGCAAATCCCTCCTCTTCCAGCACGGAGGGTCCTCAGTGCTTTCAGCATCTCTCAACAGCGAAACGAAAACTCCCCGCCAGGTTCATCGCTCACAAGAGCTCTGCTTGAGATAAGTGTCTCTCCTCCTTTCGCCCCACAGAGCAATTGCTTGGAGATGCATCCAAAGCCCCAGGCAACGGCGGGCTCTGTAAAGTCTGCAAGTTCTTGTCGGCATCATCGGGTACAGCCTGAAAAGACTGCCGCGCCAGCTCCTCAGATTGCCATAACAAGCTGAGACCGCTGAGACCAGGCCTTCCTTGCCTTCCTTCATCTCAACTTCTCAACCCCTTGTGCCCTTGAAAGCGTAGCTGAAATTTCTGAAACCGTAGCGTTGCTCGCGGCTTCTGCGACTCCAAGAGTCCGACTTGCGGTCTTGCGGTGAAAGAAGCATCCAGAGAGCGAAGAAAGACCGCTTGGCAGCGGGGCGTTGCGCTGGGTCCTCCCAAAGCCACGTCCACACACACTCACACGCACACCCACAAGTTCACTAGCCCGCAAGGCCCACAGCACACTGGCCCTCTCGCCTCTTTGAGTTGCACATGCCGCACGCTGCTGACCCTCTCTGAACCCCCATTGACCTTCACTGACCCCCATTGCACACCAACCCGAGTCTGTGCCCAGGCCTTCAGGAGCAAGGCCTTGACAAGCTTCAGAATGCCTGCAATGGCAGACATCTTCAACACAACTTGTCTTCAGAATGCCAACATCGTTTGTCGCCTCCAGAGTACCCTGCAAACCGCCCTCGGTCCATGCGAACTTTGCAACCTGCAGCAATCTACAAGTCTGCAACGATCAGCGGTTTCAAGGCTTGTTCACACAAAAGGGCAACGACTGTCAGTCTGAGGCCAGCACGCACAGTGCGAGCAAGAATTTTCTCGACACTGCTGTCTGCAAATGGAAGAACAGCAGACAGGCAATAGTACCTTGAAAAAATGTGATGGTATGATTTCGTGCACGATTGTGGCGGCGTTGCTGGATTGCTGGACTCTCGCCAGACAAGCAAGCGAGGCACAGCACGACGCCAGCGGCAAAGACATCAATCTTCTCGCTGTACGGCCTTGTAGGATGATCCACGCGCTATGCGTTGCATAACACTCATCAAGCTCTATCTACAGTAAGGCCAGGGTTGCTGTAATAGCTTCAGGTTCTCCGGCTATCAGCTCACAAGAAGCCCGCTGGCAATACTCTTTGCTGGCAAAGATGCTCGCCCGTCCTTAGAGCTCAGCAGAACAACAGAACGGCAACACCTTCCTCTCCACACTCCCCACGCATGCTCTGTAAGCCTTTGAGTCTTCAGGTTTCCTACTACAACATGTCAGGACATGTCAAAACAGAAATACTTGCTGCCACGGATGTGGCCATCATGCTTCGAGCTTCAGAACCTCAGGCGCCGCGTAGCCAGGGGAACCAACTCTCCTCGCAGGAAAAAACTCGAAGGAGTTAAGCTTTCTCATCACGTCTTGGGACACGCGGCAAACCCACAGAGACACGCACGAGACTTCCCGAACCTGCACAACTCCCCAGATCGTGACCCTTGATTGGAGTTTGAAGCACCAAACTTGGGCCGAGCATCTTGTCCATTGCTCCAGTATCTGCGAGGCTCGCAGCAATGCCTGCGGGACACATTCCACGGGGTCTCACCAAAAAGGTCGTCATCACTTCACCGTTCAGTTGCTCGATGTGCCAAGCGACCGAAATCAGCGAGAATCGCTCGATTCTCAGCAATCAAGATGTTTTCCTTTCGGCACCAGTCTGTTCCAGCAGTCTGTTCCAGCTCTTGCAAGGCGGCAGCTTTTCCCCTTTTTTCAACCCAGCTTCGCATTTCACATCGCGGTGCACGATGCCCAGGCTATGGACATGTGCTAAAGCGGACAGCAGCCCAAGCATCACTTCAGCCTTCAGGAGGCAGAGGGATTTCAGATATCATGACACTCATTGCACTTCACCATTTGCCTATTAATATGCCACTTGCACATGCCACGGATCATTGGCTTTTTGGCACAACCGCATGGTGCTAATATGTGCTAATGTAACACAACAAGCCCAAGGCACGCTGTCTGCTTCCTTCATGGGCCCATGCTTCATCACTTGCTCAAAGAGGTCTCCGCCAGGGTAGAGTTCCATAGCGATCAGCCTTGGAGAGAGTCAGGGCCGGCGAGTAAATTGCATCGCCAAGTCCTTTTCGACAAGGTCAGGCCATGCTCGGAGGACCAATGGTTATCTAAGGCGGGGACCAGCGATCTCTCCCCGGGTCCTGCAAGATTCGGAAAAGTGGGACATCCACTTCGAACATCCCCACCCTGACCTTAAAACCCAACTGCAATGAATTGACGCTTTGCTACTGTTTTCAATGCTGAATCAGAGTTTTTGCTCTGATGGAACAACTTTGGGTGTCTCTCGGTGGAAGAAGCACGGCATTTTGTGTTTCGGGGGGTTGGTGTTTTTGAATGAAAAAAAGCACGAGCTCCTGAACCTCGATCACCTACACAACTTTTCATGTTAAGTTTTCCGAGTCCCTGGCCGAGCGGGGCCAGTCACAGTGAAACCTTCCTTCTGGCATCGGGAAACGCTTATAAGATTTGAGCTCTCGTTCAGACCAATGAAATAACCCTTCTGGGACTTGAGCTTAGGTTCTTTTCGATGGATTGCAGGAACCGCTTGGAGCCGCCGCAATCCGATGTCGCGTGGGTTCCAGGCTGTGAGCCTTGTCCGACAGAGCCTTGAAACCATCCTTGAAACCCCCTCCTCAAAAGACGCCCAAAATGCCTTCTGCCCTTCACGATCCTGACATGCTATACAGGACTGGAACTCTACCTGCACCGCTGTTTGCAATCCGAGGGCTGCGCCCCCCTTGGGCCGGCCGGGCTGCCGAGGCGGCGCGCGCAAGCGTTTACGATTCAATTTGGTGGTAGAATCTCGCGCCCGAGCCCCCCCAAGCCTGCCGATGGATGCCACGTTCTGGCACGCCCACCTGAGTCTCCCTGGCCTTGTGCTTTCCTGAGCACACCAAGTCGCAGGATGCGAGCATTTGCGGGCCACTTTGTCTTGAGAACCTATGACAAGTCCACTTGTCGGGCGGGGAAATTTGATATTCAGTTGGTCAGGCATGTGCAGCACAGCAAAGCGCGTGCGCACCCGAGCACACATACGCACACACACCCCCCGGGCCTACAGACACATGAGACATCAATCACAGCGCCGCCTACCGCGTACAAACCATGGCCCGAACCTCCCTGGCCAGCGCTACATGTGCCGCCTGAACTTCTTTGGCCTGTTTCTTAAAGCAATTATTCAGTACTGCTAGCCGCCTGGGCCTCCCTGGTCTGCTCACTACAATAAGGCAACCTTATGGCGCAGTGGCCTGCCTCCCTGGCCTGCTTCCTAAGGCAACATTGCGGTGCTGTCGCCCGCTTGGGCCCCTTGGCCTACGGCTTATTCAGGCACCATTCCGGTACAGTACTGCCTGCTGTTCCCATTTGTCCGGTGGGGAACAACAAACACGCTGCATGCCTTATGTTGACTGGACACATAAACTCCCCCGCAACTGAGCAAAAAAATCCTTGAACTCAATCAACAAACCTCAGATAATCACCCAATTTCAGGGTGCCCCTTTATCGCCCAGACCCTCTTCAACTAGAATATGCGGTCCCCTGCCAGAGAGAGACTGAGTCAATCAAGGTGGGCGGGGTTATTACTGGGAAGTCAACAACATAGCATCGTCTAACCTGTATGAATCGAAGTGCCCTGTGCGTGTGTGACAAAGAATATTTTTCCCGAAAGCATCGCGAAGGGTTCTTCCGTGCGGAGCCCTCTGACCCAACAACATAGACTGAAGAGCATAGAGTGAAGTGCATAGAGTCAAGTGCATAGAGTGAAGTGCATAGAGTGAAGTGCATGGAGTGAAGTGCATAGAGTGAAGTGCATAGAGTGAAGTGCATAGAGTGAATTGCATAGAGTGAATTGCATAGAGTAAAGTGCATAGAGTGAAGTGCATAGAGTGAAGTGCATAGAGTCAAGTGCATAGAGTAAAAAATATAGAGTCAAGTGCATAGAGTGAAGTGCATAGAGTGAATTGCATAGAGTGAAGTAGAAGTTAATAGAAATTACGAGATTTACGTAGAATTTAGTAGACCTTCGTACCCAGTCCTAGATTTCCAAATTAAAGTTCCTCTTTCTAAGGCGGCGGGCTGGGTTGACATCGCCAATCGGGATTGCAACCCTCTGCGGGTTTCGGCGTGGTCGCGGTGCTAACACCGTCGTTTTTTTACGTTTCTTTCTGGCCGCGGACAACCCTCTGCGGGTAATCGCCGGGTCGCGGTGCTAAAACCGTCGTTTTTTTGCGTTTCTCGATGTGCGCGCGGACAACCCTCTGCGGGTTTCGGCGTGGTCGCAGTGCTAAAACCGTCGTTTTTTACGCTTCTTGATTTGCGCGGACAACCCTCTGCGGGTTTCGGCGTGGTCGCGGTGCTTAAAACCGTCGTTTTTTACGTTTCTTGATTTGCGCGGACAACCCTCTGCGGGTAATCGCCGGGGCCGCGGTGCTAAAACCGTCGTTTTTTTACGTTTCTTGATTTGCGCGGACAACCCTCTGCGGGTAATCGCCGGGTCGCGGGTACTAAAGCCGTCGTTTTTTTGGGTTTCTTTCTGGCCGCGGACAACCCTCTGCGGGTAATCGCCGGGTCGCGGTGCTAAAACCGTCGTGTTTGGAACTTTTTTTCGTGGCCGCAGACAACCCTCTGCAGGTTTCGGCTTTGGCGCGGTGCCAAAACCGTCGTGCTTTTGCGCTTTTTGACATACAAACATAACCCCTCTGCGGGTTTCGGCGTTGGCGCGGTGCCAAAACCATCGTGTTTTTGCGTTTCTTGACATGCAAACGTAACCCCTCTGCGGGTTTTCGCGTGGTCGCGGTGCTTAAAACCGTAGTGTTTCGCGTTTTCTTTTCGACTTGTGTAGTACAGACGTAGTACGCCGGGGACTTGCGTGGCTAGAAAGTTGGCTGACGGCTCTCGCGTTGAATGCTTTTTTGTCTTTTCTTTCATGGCTTCGCGTGGATTGGACGTGCACAGTCGAGTCGGATGCAGACAAGTGAAGTTCATACAGTTGCTCAAGTGCAATAAGTTTAACAAATGTCGAGTTCAAGCCCGTTAACTCCGCTAACTTCAGATGTATTGAAGGCCGATGAAGTGTACACAGTTGACCACAAGTGCATGGCATTCAACTCCACACACTTGAATGCCATGCAGTTCAAGTGCATATACACGTCCAGTACACAAGAGCAGTGTACAAGTGACTATGCAACCATGTAAGTGCATACATTTCTCCAAGTGCATACACTTCGAGTGCAAAGAGTCAACTGCATGGACTCAACGCACGGCAAATCGATGCTTTCGGGCCATCCCTCTTCTAGTTTCATAATTCCGAAGCTCGCCATCAGTAATTTCTGACGATAGCCGTTGATCAGCGGAGGGGAAGCATCTACTTACTGTGAAACATGCGTACATGTGTTCCTGTCGCTGTGTGCGGATACCATCATCTCCATCAACACCATTCAACACCCAAGCACCCCTTCCTGGAACCCACCCTCTCCTGCGCTGCCGCTGCTCCCTGTTGATCTCCTGTCACCTCGAGAGGGCTGATGGCTATCATGATGCGTGGCTCTGCAGATACGCACAAAGATGCACAATGCACAAAAGGGCAAGGTGGGAAATGTTCTCGGATCCTGCCGACATTTTTCAAGGTTACCGTCATCGCCTGGCTGTGTCGTCCGCGACAACAGAAGACACCATAGAGGGCAGCGACATTCCTCACGGAGCCATGCAGGGCACAACAGTAGGTAGCATTCCTTGCATTTTGGACGGCTATGCCAACAGTTGTGCTTATGTTCAGCAATCCAAGTGTCGGATGACCATGGACTTCAGTCAGAAAAGCTATCTCACTCCTGGCCGCAGTGCAGCGGTGTGCATTCTGCATGCATGTTTTGCAACATCTAGCAGGAGAAACAAAACATCCGATAGCGACTCCTTCAGAACGGGCATGCCTACTTTAACCTTTCATGGAAGCGGCTGAAAAGGCACAGAGTCCTGACCAGCTGCTCGATAGGAGTTTGTCGTGGTGCTATCTCCTTCATGGCCACAGGAGCACCGGCAGGCACCTGAGAAGCCACAGCGCGTCGTCTTTTTTGCGTGGCGTGGCATGATGCCTTCTGCTCAGTCGGGCAGTCGGGTGGCTGGATTTCCGGAAACCCGCGGCAATCTCCTTGGAGTCATGTTGTTGGGTTACGTCTGCATGGCATCAGGCCACAGAGCAACCCACTTTGATTGCCAGAGCCAAGCTGCCATGCAGAATTCCCCAAGTACACCTTCCCGCAACCACCCGCTCCGAGGACAGTTGGCGAGACCGAAAAGCAGTCGTCCATGTCCCGACCTGAGTAGCAATCAATCTTCTGGAACGCTGGCAAGTGCACGGAAAGACAAATCACTCTCTCATAAAGGGACCAGAGACATGCAAAACCCTACGAACCTTCATTCAGACACCTGCTGTACGCTGTTGTACGCCTCTGGATCAGATCCTCATTGTGTCACTTGGTACCTGAGTCCCTTACGAAGTGCACCCCTGCTGCCCAAGGCAGCAAGCAGCAGGTGCAACTCCTGAGTAGACGCAGACTGCAAGGCAAGGATGGAGCTTGAGGAAGAGAAAGGTTCACAAGTGGTTTGCACGGTTCAAACCAGTGGGCAGGACTCTGAATGCACAAGCGGGACTGCACCACAAGGCTGCAGAGGTGCAGGGACAGTGCAAGGTCCGACTTCAAACAGCCAAATGGAAGACCTCGGCCGAAAAAAGGCCACGCAGCGATGGTTCTCACGCAAGTGGACAATGCCAGGCAGGCTAGTCGTCCAGCAAAGCTATGGATGCAACCAATCCTGACAACCTTGAAGCACCAACCACACTAAGGCTGGCTGAAGTCCCAAACATTTCAAGCCAATGCTATGCCTATGGAAGCTGCCAAGTCAGTTGAGCCACTCATCACCGCCGGACGGTGCAATGCCAACAACAAATCCTGAGCATGAATGCAGGCAAGGTCTCACTGTGTACTCTGTCCCTCTGCTACCAGTGTTTGAAACATC